TTATTCTAAGTTTTCAAATAAAATAAGCGATATTATAAATTTGGCTGATTTATAATTTTGATCGCATAATTCAACAATAATTTTAATAAATGGAATTAGAGTTAAACTAATTAGTTGGATTTTTTTATTTTTTTTTGCATAAAATATTTTTTGCTGATAAAATTTATATTTAAAAAATTTATTTAAATAAATTTGAATTTATAAAATTTAAATTTATAAATTTAAACGAACTATAAAATAAAAAAAGCTTTATAAAATTTTCTTCAATATTATAAAAATTTTTATGAGATTTTTTTTAAAATGGGAATCAAATATTTTAAAAGGATTTTTATTGCCGAAATATGCAACTTTTCGTTTTATTGAGGAATTTATTGAGCTGATATGATAACGATAATGGCGATGGTAATATTGATGATGATGATGATGTCTATGCATGTGAATTTAACCAAAAAATACATAAAATAATACGTTATTATCATACAATATAGAGTTAATCATTTAGATTTCCCTTATAGCTTATTTTTGTTATTATTCAACCAACGCAGATTCTTCTGATTCCAATCAAATAGGATGAGAAAGAAGAATTGGCGAAAAAAAAGGAAAAAATTTTTTGGATCAATCTTCTTTTTTTTCCGCTATTTTGCTTCAACATTGATAATAACATCTGTTGTACAGGAATGAAAAATTTTTTGAGGGCAAACATTATTTTCGTAGTACAGACGAATCGTCAAATAGATAGTACATTTCACTTCATTTATACCAATTACAAAATACTTTCATTTATTTAATACAAAATCCAAATTTTATTTTTTATTTCAAATATGAAAATAAAAAATATTTTATTTTATACATATATGTATATATAATGGAAAATTTTTTAATTTTTTTTATTATTGTTTATGAGTAATAATGATTTGTAATAAATTCATTTTTTATTGTTTGTTTCGTTATGAAACATTTTCGTCAAACATCTTTTTTAAAATAATTTATTTCGTTTTTTTCTTTATTTTGATTATTTTAATTTTTTTTATTTTACAAATATTTTACAAATAAAATTTTATTTTACTATCAGAATAATCAAATAATCAATGAAAATAATTTAATGGTAAATATGATAGATTTTTTTTTAAAAGATTGTATATTTATAAGATTATATTTTCCGCTGGCTTATCGCGCTAGATTAATATGTTAGGAAGTCTTTTAGTGGTAGAAATACAGATGAATTGCCAGCATCACCAACATGCTTGGACAGATTTACTCCTGCGGTCCCTTAGCATCGGTGCTCCGAATTTAGCAATAACCCACTGAGCCATTCGGTTCTTTCCTTAACTACGATGGATTATCAAAAATATGCAAAAAAAATCAGTTTAACAGACTTTATATTCGAATTTGATAGGTATTTTTTTTGCAGAAAGCGATTCCTTTCTATAAGAAAAAAATAATTCAACGATTTATTTTTGTACATATGGCAAAATTATTGTACAAAAATGAATGATATCTTTTAGCGAATTTATTGTCATTAAAATGATTGATGAAATGCTTAGTTGCTGCGCCAGAATAATTATTTAAATTATTGAAATTCATTCTTCTTTTTTTCTTCAATATTATTTCCTTTCTTGTGCTTTTTTTTCTTTAACAGTGGACATTGGAAACCAAAAATTTTAAGAATTCTTCTAAAGAATCACTTAAAAAGACGATTGAAATTAATCAGAATGGTACTTTATTTTTCTAATAATTCGCACCATTTGTACCGCAGAATATAAGGAGGTGGCACTTGCAAGCCTCTCGGTGCAATGCCTAAAAGTAATAAAAACCACTCCTCTCTTTCTACCATTTAAGTTTCCATATATCACTGAACCGCCTATATATTTAAGACCTCCTCTTGTATCAATCCAATGTCTTGACTGATCCTTCTCGCTTTTAAAATCATCCATCTCCGAGTTTAACAATTTTCGTAGCGATGCTAATTGTGGTGATGAATGACGAAGAACACGAATATGCTCATTCAAAAACTTTGTAATTTAAAAACGAAAATTTCATTTATGTTTGATTCAATCGATATGAAATTGTTGATATAAGCTAAACAATAATACTATTGAAAATTGTTCGATGATTTTCAGGATATTATCGAATAACTATTTCGGCGATAAATGGGTTTACAATTCGATGGAGGATTTCGATGACGAGCTTATTGACGATATCATTCAATGCCCACTAAAGATTTTTCCACGATTTCTTATCGGTCAGTTGGCCTCTTTTTTCTATTTTATTAAGTGATTAGGGAAAAAAATTTATCGTATTTGCTAGTTTCCTTATATATTTGTAATAGCTCAAATAGCCATAATGATAACAAAAAAAAAAGATTAATTCAAATATTCACGTAAAAAAAAAAATTTTTTTTTCACTTCTTTAGCAATTATAAAATAATGATTTTAATTATTTTGAAAATCCAATTATTAATCAAATTTTAATTATTTAAAAAATCTATGAATGAATTTTCTTCTGTTTTTTTTATGGAAAAATATTATTACAAATGAAAACGAAAAATTTTAGTTTCTACGAAAATATTTATTAGAGAATATTTATTAGCTTATTTTTTTAAAATTTTAAAACTTCAAAATTTACAAATTTTTTGGCAAAATAGTTATATAATTTGGCTAATAGGCCAATCCAATGATGAGAAATGGTGAGCGAACTTGGAAAAAAAAATTATGAGAAATTTTCACTAAAAAATATCATAAAAATTTGCAGAGGTGTAGAATTTGGCAGTCATTATCAATAATTTTTACCGAATTACTTGATGTTATCTTCATTTCGTTCATCAAAAAAAATACATTGGAATGAGCTAATTCATTCATTTTTTTTGATTGATAAATAAGATTGATAAAGATAAAGATTGGATGATTATGAGAAAACGAGGTCTTCAATTCACCTTAATGACCTTGTAAAAATTTAATACATTTGTGATACATGTATAATATTTTGTAATAAATATATAGATTTTAGATGAAATTTTTTATTGATAAATTGTCTTATTAATTAGGCGTATAGTTGTTAGTATTAGCATTAACATTAGTATTAGTTTAGAGCATTTCGAAGAAAAGTTAAAATTTAGATTATTCAGCAGTTCAAATTTAATGGAAAAACTTATGATAAAATTCTAAATGATAAAAACGAAAATAATAAATGACAAAAACGAATCATTATTTTTATTATTTTTATTCTTGATAAAATTATTGATAAAATTTTTTTTTTAAACTTTATCATCAATAATTTTATTTTCAATTTAAGAAAAGAAATGAAATGAAAAAATTTTTATTTTATTTTTTTTATGAAATCATTTCATATCATTTTATCAAAGATTTACGGTAAATTTACGGTAAATTTATATTATGCATTTTAAAAAACCCTAAATTTTTATGATCAAATTTCTCTATTAATTCTTTTTTTTTCCAGTTTTTTTCATGGCCAATGAATTGGCTTTTTTTTTATAGATTGTTTTATAGTCAAAATCTTCTATGCAAATATTTATAATCTATTGTATTCATTTAGAACTGGTAAAAACTTATTATTCATCATTTCGATAAGAGAAAAATTTCAAAAAAGTTTCTTATCTTCTCTTTGCAAAACATTAATAATCTCTTTATCATCATTTTGCACCTATTATTTAAAAGCTCTAAACGTTCCATTATTCTTCTATATTATCTTTAAGATATGATGAAAAGAAGCGGTATAATGTGATATTAAGCTATGAGTAATTATGCAAATAATCTCCCTCCATATTTTCCAAATTCTCCATGAAAATAAGCAAATTAAATAATCTTTTTTTTTTGGAAATTATCTTTATTTAGTGAAAATTTTCAAAATTGTAATGATAAAATTATAATAAATAATAAAATTGTCATCATTTTATTTTCTGCTATTTTAACGAGCAATTTTGGCATAGAGAGAAAATAATTTCACTACCAGTTTTTATTTAAAAGTTAGTTAATGATAATCTATCTATGTGAATGTAAAATAGGACGAAGAATTGTCGCATTAAAAAAAGTTCAATTATTAGAAAAGTTCAATTATTATTGCCTATAGTTCAAATTACTGGTTTTTTTTTTTTTGTGGAGAGTCACCAAAAATAAAATCTGTATGGTACGTACCAATCAAATCTAACCGCATCAGTTATTCCTAATTAGGAGAAAGAGGTTTGAATAGTAAATAATTGAACGATACAAACCAGAAATGGTGTATATATGCGATTTGAAGAAACAAAAAGAGATAAGACAGATTGAGTTTCTTTTCTTTCTTTACTTTCCACTTTTCCAAATTTAAGTAAATAGTGTACCATGAAAAATATTTGCATTATATACGCGAGCTGGTTACATTCGTAATATTTATTCTCGACTTATGTCAACAATCATGAATAGTATTGATGATGATTCAATTAAATTGATAAGCAAACTATTTTTCATGGAATGGCGGCGAAAAAAAAAAGGAACGACTCGATTCTCGAAATATGAAGTATTTAGGGACGACATAAATATTTTACAAATATTCATAACCTTTTTTTTTTAAAAAAAACACGTACCACTACTAATTAGACTTGGCCTATCCCACTAGGCAAATATACTAGGGAATTCTTTTGTGACAGATGAATGGCTAGTATCACTCTGAGATTTTTTTGAATAGGTTTGCATCTGCCGGAAGCAGAACCTCAGTATCGGCGCTTCGAAATGACCAACAACCCACTGAGCCATTCTCCTCTCACTTGTTTTTCTCGCTTAGGTGGCACTGCAATCTGATGAATGAAGAGTGGTGCGTTGACGGAATCGAACCCTCCTTCGGTTCTCGAACGCAATTGTCTTATCATTGAGCTACTGCAGCACATTTACAGCCATTATGATTATTTTGGAATTCTTTTTAAGTTTATTTTTGGTTAACTTTTTATAGAATATTTAATGGATAAATTTCTATTGGTTTTTATTTTCACTTATCTCATCTAAAGAACTATGATTTGCAATTTGAATGCAAAACTTGAGACTTTAATTGAAAAATATCGAAAAATTGATACTCATCATCAATCAAAATTTAGAAGGAAGGTTAGGAAAGAGGTATTCTATGTGTGAATTTTTATTATTTATATTTTCTAATCTGGTTGAATTCTTTAATGAGTTTACATAGCCGCTTAACGATGAGCATTTACGATTCGTTCGTTATAAAATATGGATAAATATTTCAAATTCGATATAATAATAAATATAAATATAATGAAATATTATGCATGAAATTACTCATAAAATTTTCTTACTTTTTCAATTATCTATGAAATAGAATAGAACAAATAAATAGAATAGAATGTTATTAGATTTTTGGTTGAAAAGAATTAATTCATACAAAAATAAGAAAAATAAAAATAAGAAAAAATTATTCTAAAATTAAAATTCAAAATTTATTTTAAAATTAAAGAAATTAACTTGAAAATTAAAGAATTTAAATTTAAGAATTTAGCTGAATTTTACTTAAATTTTAGTATCAATTGATTATTCAACAATTTCATAGATTTTAAATTATAAAACTGTAAGCAAATTACAATTTTATATTCAAAATTTGCTAAACAAAAATTCGGCGAAACTCTTAAAATTTTCTATAAAAAAAATTTTTCATTGTAATTTAGCATTTCGAATTCATCGAATATAATAGAATATTTTAAGAAAAGCAATCTTTAATTATACAAATTTTCTGAATTTTTTTTCCAATAAATTTTTTAATTATAATTGACAGGAAACACGATAATCGAGTAGTTATAGCCTAGAATATCGCTTGAAAGCTTTAGTGATTTAGTAACCAAGATAGGGAGGAAGTCTGTCATTAAAAAAGTCCCCATAGTACTAGTGATTCACCTTATTTGCATTGCCAAGTTGACTGGCTCCATGATAAAAATTTCTCGTTGTGCCAGCAGCAAGCTGGATAAACTCAACCAGAAATGATGAATGTTGATAAGTCTGTTTCTTAATGATAACTAACTAATGATAACAATTTACTCTAGTGATGAATAGTTTAAGTTCTTATATTAGTGTATTGTGTGATATATCCATTTATTTATATTCTTTGCTTATGGTACTTATTGGTAATTGTATAATACAATAAAGAATACATGGTTCATATAACATCTGAATTAACCGGAAATTTGAAGTAAAAGCGATTATCGCGCAAAGAACGGCTAACCAAATCACGTAAAAAAATCCAAAAACGATATAGATTTTTATTTAAATATTATTAAATTATTTAAATATTTTTAAAATGACCTACAATAATATTTATTAAATATTTCAAAAAAAAATAATTTTACATTGAATTTTATTGTTTTTTGCCAAATTTTCAATATTATTTTTAAAAATTACAAACGAATTTACTATTTGCTTTAAGAAAATCTAAAAATTTCGAAAAATTGGCGGGTAATTAATTTGATAGTTTTAATATATTTATAGAGAACAATTGACGAAAAATTTCTGGGAAAAGTTGATAAAATTTAAGAAAAGCGGCGTATATCATTCATTGATCATCTAATCTATAATATATTAAATAAAATTATCAGATTTTCGCAAAATGATTTATCTATAAAACAATAGAATTTCTGTTCATTTTAGATAAAACAATTAAGGAAAATAGTGATTGAAAATTGTGACAGAAATGAGATTTGGAAAAATTCCTTAGCTCATTATTTTTTCACCGAAAAATGACTCATTTGTGAAAAAGAAGTAGAATTTTACTTAATTAAATTGGCAGAATTAGTTGAAAATATATTTAAAAACACTTTGCTCAAGGTCGAAAATAAAATTGAAAGCAAATTTGTTTCTTTAATATTTTTCATGGAAATAAATTGTTTAAATTTTAATATATAATAATATGTAACTACAATTTTGATAAAAAATTTAATTTTCTTACAATAGTTGATAATCATTGGCGATTGACTGATGATAATTGATAAGTATAATTAATTTTAAATTTCTTTTCCCAAAGGATAATTTCTTTGGAAATCGAAATTATGTCTCGTCTCATGTCACTCAATCATTAAAAGTGAAATCTTAAAAATGATGATGACCTAGAATTTCTCCTTTTTTTTCCCAAAGTATAAACTGTAGTCTTTCTTTAAAAATCTATTAAATTTGCATGCGACTACAAATTTACTTGATTCAACAATAAACATGATGAAATTTCATGCATCACCAATAAAATTCTATCAAAAATCATACAAAATGGAAAATGAATAAATTTGAAGAATTTTCTAAAACGACCGAAATACTATTTTAAAGAAATCGAAAATTTTAAATTCGACCTTTTCAAACTGAATGGTTATTTTAAAATTGTTTATATTATTTGTCAATTTATTATCAATTTATTCTATCAACGGTGATCAGTTAAAATTTTTATACAACTTAAATTGTTGTATATAACGATTTATTTGCAAATTAAAAACATCATTAATTTTGAGAACTAATGCAATGAAATGCAGCGCAGACAAATACTGAAATATTAATAATATTTTTGATAATTTACGGATAAAACTTGAAAATCTTTCATGGTAGTTATTTGTTACATTAAATATTAATTAAAAGATAGGTTTTTCTCTCTAAAGTTCACTACAATTTTTTTATTCTTATGGAAGAAATAATTTTTTGTATTTTTGAATTTGAAATCGATAGTTTTATTATTATTATTAAATTAAATTAGTTTTATTATTATTATTATTAAAATTATTAAATAAAATAAATTATTAAATTATTATTTTTTATTTTTCATTTTTAGAGGCGAATTCATTAGCTGTTATCGATCTTCTAAATCGAATAATACATAAAAAAAATGGTTTTCAAATAGTTATCGACTGCTTATCATGTTGGCAGGTAAACTCAGGTTTATTTATTAACCTATTTATTTGAATAAATATTTATAAAATTTTCTAATCGATTAGCTTGATAATTGCTTAAAATATTCGCGGTTCGCGTATATTTACGTGCAAATTCGCGTATTTTAGGATATTATTGGGACGAATTATTGCCTTGAAACAATCGCTAATGAATTTATTCATTCGAATGATGCTGAAGTTTTACATTCATGTTTAACACTTCTAAATCGTTTATTGCAATATGCGCCAAATGCCGTTGCAAGAATTCGAATTGACCACGAATTAAAAGGTTTGAATATTTTTTTTTAAGAGATTTTTTTTTTTGAGATAATTTTTGCCATTATTTGCCGGCATTTTATGCTACTTGAGACGGCGAAATCAATGAGAATAATACTCATTTTAATTGCCAATTGTCCTATGCATTTTTATCGTATGAAAAATAAAAATTCCCTCTAAAATTTTTTTCATTTCTAAAAAATCGAATCAAAATTTCCGTTTTCCAGAAAATTTCGAGAAATTTTCCATTGTCGTTTAGATTTAAGTAGTTAAATCATTCTGGTAGAGACGAAATATAGTCGAATTAGACGATTCGTTATTATTTTAATATTATCATTATTATTGTTATTATTATTATCATTATTAATATTATTACCATTATTATTCTTTGTTCTTATTCTTTCTTTATTCTTTATCTTTGTATATTCTATAAAAAATTTTTCTCTTCTTAAATCTCCTACAAAATACTAAAAAACACTTTCAAATAATTATTTAATATCGGTCGTTTGATTCTAATTTTCAACCCTATCTGTCATTCAAAAATATATTTTTAACAAAATATTTGTTCATAATAATATTTTTTTCTTTTTTTGTTTTGCAAAAACTAAATTTTTAAATAATTTATAAAATAAATCATTGACATCCAAAAATAATCCTTAATATAATCTCGATGAATAATATTTATGTGTTTTTTTTTTTTAAGAGCGCCCACTGCTTCTGGTTAGATTCACTTTGCTGGCTTGCTAGATCAAGCAAATTTTGCTAGGCGAGTCATTTAGCGATAGAAGTACAGGTAAAGTCGCCAGTATTACTAGGCCTATTTTTGTGGCGGCGTTATTATTGTCTGGAAATGATAGCAGCAACCCATTATTCAAGCTTTATTAAATTTGAATTATAAATTTGAATTTAATGCATTAAAGACAAAAATTTAATTTTAATACAATTATTAACCTTATCATAGAATGTCAATTTTTAATATTACCAAAGAAAATCACATTTCGCTTTTACTTATCTTTTACTTATGTATTTTAAATCAGATTAAATTCATATTCTATTCTTCTTTATACTGACAAGTGCATTGTATATCATTATTGTTTCGGTAAACTATGATAAGATTTGCATATCACTTATGCGGCTGAAGGAAATTTAGATAACATATATTACATATATATTTCATAATTCCATAGATTTTATATTATTGTATTATTTATATTATTTATATTATTGCTGAAAATTTCAAATATTTTAAAGGAATAATAAAAAATTAAGTATAAAAAATGAATATATTTTAGAATTTTAGAATTTTTCATAAGAAATAAAGATTGATTAAAACTAGAAATGACTTACTAATTTACCACTGTAAATTAAGTGAATTATTAATAGTTTCTGAGAAGAAAAAAAGAAGAAATTTTTATTTTAAATTTTTCAAAAAATATTTAAATGTTAATATGATCCATAATCCACAATTGTTGATTATCATTCGTTGTAAATATTAATATAAACAAAGAACGAAAAAAATCGAATTTTCTTCTTTGAAATATTAAATTGTCTAAGAATTTTTGGGATTTTTTTGCTTCAGGGACAGGAATATTTTGATTTCAATTCAAAAAAATGATTTATTATCAATAAGCAAAATTACAAATGCAATGATAAAGTGATAAATGAAAAAAATCCAGTTTTTTTCGTATATTCTTATGCGCTTAATTTCAAATTTTATTTCTTCATCTAATGGCATTTATCATTTATCATTTTTTAAAATCATTTTTTCATTTTTGATTTGATTTAATTGATTCCATTGATTTTACTAAGAAAATCCTTTTGAAACCAACGAGTAAATTACAATTAAAAAGTTAAATTAAAGAAAAAAATTTGATTTTACTTGATGATTCGCATGATAATTTTTTTTTTGTGGTTATAAACAAGTGCGAGAAAAAAAAGGTGAGAATATAGCTGATCTAATCACCTTTATAACATTTAGATATTTTAAGTTCATTTGAATTAAAAACAAAATTAGTCTTAACTCTTGGGTATTGTGCGACTGAGAACAATGACCGACTTGAAAATATATATTTGATTTAAAATAACAGTGCTAGTGGTGATGCTGGCGGCTCACCTGTATTTCTATCGCCAAGGGACTTCCTGGCATATTATCCAATGCAACAAGTCAGTGGAGCAAGTTTAACCAGTAATGGGGACACTTGAGAAAAAATAATGTTAGTGGAGTGCCGAACCAGGAATGGTGAATAGCGAGTAGTCCAATGAAGAGCGACCATTTGTTATAATCATATCATTTTTTAGGAATTTTTCAAGAAAATTAATCATAATAACCAAAATTTTCTGATTTTTTAAAAAACGAAAAATCATAAAAATAAGCTTAAGAAAAAAGATTAATGACATTTTCCAAATTATGAGAATTATGATTTCCTTTTATTTATCGTCGAAAAATTTTTGATGGAATGAAAATGGCGAAGAAATATTTGATAGTATGGTGTGAAGATTAAGCAATCAAGAAATAACGAATTCCTTAGGGTTCAATTCATCAAAATTTAGCTACTATCGATTTTTTACTTACTTTTACTTCTCATACGTATTCTACAATTGTTAATAACACAAATGTATTCATTTTTCTAACACTTACACTAAAAAATTCACTTCAAAAATAAAAAACTCACTTATACGAAATATTAAAATATTAAAAATATTATATTTAAATTATATTTTATATAATTTTGGCAAAGATTTAGCAACTGCCCTATTTTAAACAAATTTTTTGCCATAAATTTTAGTTGGCATAATCATCTTTAAAATTAAAGATGTTATTCTTCTGTTTCACATGACTTCTGTTTTCTACTTCGATGTTATAAAGTTTTCTTTTATTTAAAATCTTATATTTTCGATAGCCATTTACTCTTTTCGTTATTTTAATTTATTTTAAACTTTAGGGAAATAAATTGCTTTGCTTATTACCCATCTATTGCACTCGCTTATCGTAATCATCGCCTAGCATAATTTAAGTACCAAAGAATTGTTTCATCTTTCTGGCGATCTTTTTTTTATAAATGAAAGTGTTGATTTTATTGAGTTTCCACAAATTATTTTCTTATTTTTATCATTTTATTTTTATTTCGTATCAGTTTTCTCTAATATTTTTAAAAATTTTAATTGTCCTTTGTAATTTCCACCTGAGGCAAATAAATATTTCAGAGCTCAACGTTGATGCAAGAATTGATTATATACGGTATGTTCTCTTTTTTTTCCACTGATTGGTAACTGATATTTATCCGCCAAAATATCATTTAATGGCGTTTCCCTACTGAATGTGTACTAAAAGTGGGATCTTTTAAGTGATATAATTCATGAAATTATAATTATATTATATTATAATTATATTTTATATTATATTATTATTATTATAATATAAGTAAATTATAAAAATATAGCTGATAAAATAAATTATATTATATTATATGGAAATAATTTTTATTATATTCTCTTATATATCGTTGGCTATCAGTAAAATTTTAGTTCTTCCATAATTATTTAATTTATGATGTCAAATTTATAGTAAATAATTTGATGGCATTTCCATACTGAATTTTACATGTTTACATGTTTATATTTTACATGTTTATATTTTTTTATTTATATTTTTATTATATATTTTTTATATTTATGTTTAACAGTATATTTTTCTTAAAATCAGCATTTTAAAATTTAAATAACCGGATCAATAGAGGTGCACGTTATTGCTCAATTAGGTACCATAATAAGAAAATAAAATAAGAAAATATTCTCTTTTCGCTCTGCTTTCTTGAGTTAATAAAAAAAAAATTAAGTAAAAATGCAAGTAATGCAATTAAAAATAAAAATAAAGGATTTTATAAAATAAAATCAAAATTTCGGAAAATAATTCGAATGCCAAATGATAAAGTAATAAATTAAAGAAATTTTTATGTGTTTTAGTGCTTCAAAATTAAGCGGATTGTTTGGAAAATTTAGTCGATCAATTGATGATCAAATTGATTTGTGGATTACGCAACATTCAAGAAATCCACGAAGTAATTTTCAAGGTCGAAACTAATTTCTTGTCGAAGCTTAAACGACAATAGAAATACCAATTAAATATCGAAAAACTAAATTATTCGTGGAATTTTTTCGGTGTTTGAACAATAAATGATTGTGAAATATTCTCTCTAGCAAATCATTTTAAATTTCTTAGTATTAAGTTAATGGTCCATCGAGGCTTTCAACTGAAATTCTTCAATCGAAAAAAAACATAAAATTAAATTTTAATTTCATTTTTTCATTTTCAATAGAAGCAAAAAATTTTATTTTACCAAAAAAAAATTAATTTAGCAAATAAATTTCGAAATTTTTTATCTGAACAAATTTTATCATATTTTATTTAAAAGCAGAACCATAAATTTTTTGAAAACTCATTTTTAGGAAAAAAAAAAGTTTTTACGATGACATTTTATAGGTTCTTATGAAGAAAATGAGGATATAAGATCGGACAGTGGTGAAAGTGACGAAGGGTGTTCAATGACGAGTACCACAGCAACTTCTGAATCACTTTCTGTAATAAATTTGTAATAAATTTCTGTAATAAATTTTTATGAATAAATTGAATCAAAATATTTATGAGAATTCGAGGAAAGTAATTAGGTTGGATTTATAAGGATTCTCACTATTTCTAATTAGACTTATTGCGCTAATAAATCGAGCTAGACATATTTTGCCAGGGAGTCATTTGCCGCTAGAAGTATAGATAAATAGCCGACATTACAAGGATTTTTGAAGGACAAGGCTCCTTTTCATTGTCACCATTGTTACCATTATAACTGCAACAGCTGCACTTCGAAATGAATGCAACAATCTACTGAATATTCTAGTTCAGTCGGATATATTAAAAAATTTACTAGCAATTTTTGCCAAAAAATATTTATGATGCGACATTCACTTAATTCTTCTTGAAATTTTCAATAAATAATAAGTAATAATTAATAAAAAAATAAAATAATTTAATAAATTAAATTAAATCATAAGATTTAGAGAATTATAGATTTTATTTATTTTAATTTTTAATAAATAATTTTTTCAGGGAGATAATCGTAGCCAAATTGATTTGATACTATTACAGCTGATTAATATTCTTAAAGGCGAAACGAATGCCGTATGCCTTACAACAATCGAAGCTATTTTGTCGGCCATATGTAGCCAGGTTATTTTCCTTTCTCATTTCAGCTTTTTACAGCATTTAATGATGACAATTTATTTTATATTTAAGCGATTTAAAACAGCTGCAGCAGCTTATTAAAAGGCTTTTAGACTTTTAAGAATTGTACTATATCAAAATTATTATATATTTTCCTTGGTTACTATTTTTCTTAAAATTATTAAAAATTTTAATTATTTAAAAGCTCGCTGTTTGAGCAAAAAAAACTGGAAAGCTCATTTAAATTTTGTGATTTTTCTGATTAAATATGATAAAATTTTAATTTTTATTCGAATTTATATATTTTTTTATTTAAATATTTAGTTATTGCTTAAATAGATAAATATTAATTATTTGTAAATCGAAAAAATAATTTAAATTTAATTGCCGATTAATAAAACAATAAACAATCGATGAAATAAGAAAAATTTCTTAAATCATTTCAATCAATCTTTTATTTTTTACTTTATTTATTTTACTTTTTATTTGCATATTTCTTTTTATCTTTAAAATAAAAAGAACATGCAGCAAAAAAATCACATTTTTAATTTTATAAAAATCTAAAAAGATAAAAATAAGAAATAAAATAATAAAAATAAAAGGTTCCTACAATTTATATCTCTTAATTTTAGACGGATTGCGACAAAATTATGAATATTTTGAAGAACGAAGCTGAAAATCTACAAAATGGTAAGATTTTGGATTAGTTTGCATCAACCTTATTTATTTATTTAAATTTATGATTTTTTATTATGAACGAAAGAAATCACTTCATCACTTATCACATCATTATTGTTATCAATAATATTATGATATGTGTGAAGATGTGCGACTTATGATAAAATATCATAAAGCCATAGTGAAATATTTTTTATCTATAGTTCAATTTCAATTATTTGTTAAAATTATTGAAATTAGATGGTGAAATGACAGTGATTTGTTATGTAATAAATAAAGCGTTCTGATAATTCTTTCATTCAGAAGTTAGCTTTAAATAACTAAAGTAAAAGCTGAAGTAGTGAATATTTCTCGAAAAAAAATTTTCCACTAAGTTAATATCTCTAAAGATAATTTATTTTTTTTTAACCTACTTAGGTTAAAAAATTCCAGAAAATGCTAACGTTATAAATTTTATTTTATTAAATTTTATTGTTTTTTTTCCCATTTCTCTGTGGGTGATCATAATCATCCTCAACCTCGAGTCCTCTATCAGAGGCCTGGGATATTTAGAGTTTTGCGCAATATCTTCGCTGTTTCTCACATTACGCTTTACCACTGGATCTCTGATGTTACTCTTGGATCCGCTTAAGCCACTAGCTTAGGGGTCGCAGTTCCAAGTGCTCCAATTATCAAAATATTTTTATAGCAAAAACACTGGAATGCATAATCACTCTATCATTTGCCATACTGATATATTAGGAAAATGAAAAATTTTCATTAGATAATACCATAAAAATTTGATAACCATTCGAAAATATTAAATGCTTGACTTTTTATTTTCACGAATCATAAGCAATAAAACTTTTTTCAGCATCATCAAAAGTAGTCCATTCCATAAAACCAGTGATCTCATCGACAGTATTACCAACAACTGTAGCATCTCCACCTCCACCACCTCCACCCCCACCACCCCAAACAGTTTTATTGCCTACAGCTTTAGCCAACGGATGCCTTCAACCATCAAAAGGTATTCAAGCTCCACCTGCACCACCTCCACCTCTAAATCTGAGGCGTTCGGATAACGAGAAGAAAATGGAAATACCGAAAGCTTTAAGACTTAAGTCATTACCAAGAGAAGGTGCCAAGCTTAAGCAAATTCAATGGACCAAAATTCCTGCAGAAAAGGTGATTTTGCAGTTTTTTTTCAATCCCCCAGTTAAAGTTTTTTTTTCTCATTATCATGAAAAATAGAATAGAATATGAAATAGGTGGAAAGTTATAAACCATCTAAAACCAGTTGTTCTTAAAGTGGTGCCGGAAAAGAATTCTTTTTCAATATGCTTTGGAATCCTAAACCGATTTCCATAATATAATAAGCACCCTAATAATATAGTAATGTGCGGAAATAATATAACTATTTTTTAAAAAGTTCTATTATAATTCGATAAATAATTTAGCCACGTGGAGGAAAATACAAAAAATGCAAAAAATTGTAATAATATATAATAAAAAAAAATTGTAATAAATAAAAAAACTTTTTTAAATGAATTTTTCAACAATTCTAAATTCTAAAAATCCTTGAAGCAAAAAACTTAGGAACCACAATTCTTCCATTATAAAAATATTTAATTTTTTTCAAAGAAATCACAAAGAATAAATATGCCATAGGCAATTTTAAAATATTCAGATTTTGGACTTATTCAGATTTTGGATTTCGATTCCAATAAAGTTGAAAATGTTTGGATGTCACTGGCTAAACTTCCCGAAAATGGTAAATCACCTATTTTCTTATTTGATAAGTTATAAGTTTTTTCTGTTTTTTGCTAGATTTTTTTTGTTTCTTTACTTATTTCTCGGATTATAACTCATTTTTGTTATATTTATATTTATTGATGCTAACTATTCTAATTTAAATAAATGAAATTTAAATAAATGAAATGAATAATTTTTATTCAATTTATATAAATTTTTTATAATTTTCAAAAAATTATTTATAGAGTTTTATTTGAATTTTGATGAACTTGAATCAATGTTTTCGTGCGGTGAACGAAATTTCATCGATACAACGACAACTTTAGAAAGAAAACAATCGCGTAAAAATGAATCTATAAGTCTTCTTTGCCATAAAAGAAGTTTTAATGTCAGTATTTTCTTGAGACAATTCAAAGAAGGTTATTTTACATAAAATAATAAATAAATAATTAAATTCTATTATTATAGAATATTCACACTACGTGAAATTTATGCGAAATTTAAAACCACATCTGTGGCCTATTTACAAAAATTTCATCGGTATAGCGCTAGTAAAAGTGCGTTTATCACGAATTATTTATCAGAGATTTCATTTTTAACAGAATTATTATGATAAAAATTATCATGTTATCATAAATTATAAGAAATTCTTAAACTTAACAGGACCAGAACAAGTTATCGAAAATATAAAAGAAGGAAAGGGAGAACTTATCGGCTATGAACGTTTGCATACATTGCAAACAATTCTTCCAGATAATGAAGAGGTTAAAAGAATTTTATTGCAAATTTGTTCTTTTTTACAAAAAATTTTATTAATTTTATTTTTTTTTTTATATAGCTTTTGAAAGTAGAATGACTCAGGGCATTATTACTCAATTCGGAGCGCAGATGCTGAAGTTTTATTCCCCACAGGAGTAAACCTGTCCAAAAATACAAGTGATGCTGGTGACTCACCTACACTTCTATTGCTAAGGGACTAACTGACATATTTGTCTAGTGCAATAAGCCAGTGAAGCGAGTCTAACCAGTAATGATGAGGGCTCTTAAAGAAAAAAATCTGTAGCTTTATAAATAATAAATCTTTCAGGAATAAATAATTTTTTTATTATGATTAAAACAAACAATTTTAAACGGTCCACATCGTTGAAAAATTAATAAAAATTAAAAAATATTTTTAAATATCGTCTTACCTTTTTCCTTTTTTATTCTTTTCCTTCTTTTCCATTAAAAATTTATTTATTTAGATGGAAATTTTACGAGGTTTTTCGGGTGATATAACTCAATTAGGCCTCGCTGAACAATTCTTTCTCAATTTAACAACTGTTAACGATTATTCATTAAAATTGAATTGTTTAATATTGAAAGAAGAATTAAAAAATATATTTAATATTGTTCAACCACAAATTGATATTATTTTAACTGCACTATCAGGTTGTTTAAATTATAAAATATTCAAATAAATTTAATATAACTACTAATGGATTCGATTTTAAACTTCTGATATCACTATTTATAAGTGTGCACTCTTTCTCGCTCGATAACCAATCGTTTAGAGCTAATTTAGCCAAACTCGATTTTTTCCTAAAATTTACAATTTTCCCTTATTCAAATCCCCGTGATAAAACAAAAATTAATTCTTATATAAAATTATAGAAATAAAAGATAGCGAATCACTTCGAAAAATTTTTTGTATTCTATTACAAGTTGGAAATTTTCTAAATGCTAATGGAAATTGTGGAAATGCGATTGGCTTTCGACTTAATTCTTTATGGAAAATTATTGATATGAAAGCAGCAAAACAAAGTTTAACATTAATTCATTTCATTGCTACGGTAAATTCTTCTAAAAATTATTTTAATTTCATTTATAATAATATTATAATAATAAAAAATATGATTAAATTTTAAAAAATATTTTAATAAAAATATTATTTTCTTTTAATATAAAAATACATTTAATAAAAATATTTTTAACTAATTTAAAGAAATAACAATAAAACGAAAAAAAAATCAGAGGAAATATTTTCAGCAAGACGAAATTTGCGTTAATAAACTTCTTGACGAATTAAAAACAGTTCCTGCAGCCGCAAAGTAATTCATTATTACTTTTTTTTTAAGGACGCTCATCATTCTCAATTAAGCTCTTCCATTAGTTTATCAAATCAGACAAATTTTTCTAGGAAACTGATAGTGGTTCACTAGTACCACTAGAATTTTTAAAATATATTTAGGTATATATCTGAAAATAAAACCTCAGAACTACAGGTGCTCCAATTTACTAAGCCAATCCATTCTCATTCATTATTTTAGAAATTTAAAATTATAATTATTATCATTATTTATAAAATTATTATCATTATTTATTATTTATTAATATTATTCATTAATTATTTTATTTCATATGAAAGAAAAAAGTATAATATTTTGCATTTTAAGAAACCTTTATTTCCATAAATTAGTCGATCAATTTTTAGTGGTTGATTTATTTAAACCTTTTTAAATCAATAGATTAGAACTAATAATCGAGAAATATTTTTGTTGATTGGAGTCGAACGATATTATTAATAGCCAATTTGAGAATAGTTTTCAACGAGGAAGAGCCTGACAGATCTATTAACTTATTATTCACATATGTTCTAATTTTCTGAAGTTTTTTTTATTCGATTCATTCGAAACATATGGCTATCGAAATTTATCTATTTATTCTTTAAAGAATAAAGTAAAAAATAAAGATTTCTTAAAATGCAAAACGCTACCGAATCTAAATCAGAATTTATAGACGAATAAAAATTAAAAAATTCCGAGCGTATTCTAGCAAATGGTACTTCTCCTAAGAACAAATTCTCTCACCATAAGATCACTTGGAAATAGAGGTACAGGATGGATCCGCAGCAATCGCCCGAATTTTTGAAATTCATTTTATTTTTACTCTTATCAAAGACGAAAGTAAAAAATTAAGTGAGGAAAAAACTAAAAATTAAAATAAAATAAAAAATTTAAAAGGGAAAAAAGAAGAAAATAAATCTTTTCTTCAAAAAATAATTGAATTTATTTTTTATCTCGTAATTTCAATTTTTCTGTTTTGTATTTTTCTATTTTATTCTTCTATTATTTTTCTATCTTTATATATATTTATAATTTGATTTATAATTTATTCAAATTTTTTTATTTTTAATTTTTATATTAAAAATTTAAATGAAACTTAGCTTAATTGTTTATAGGAAATTTTAAAATTCCAGAAATAAGAGAATAACAAAACGAAATAGAAATGACCGCTCAAGTAATAAAATTCTTTGAAAACTTTTCTTTTTTCTACATGGTACTTATAAATACAATGAATTAAGACTATCACTAGAATCGATTCGAAACGATACGTATTCCATTTCGGAAAATCTTTCAAAATTATATCAAATCGTTATCACCAAAAAAGCCGATAACTTTTTTGAAAATATTGAAATTCATTTCAAGGTAATTAAATTAATTATTTAATATATATATATAAATATATTATATTTTGACAGGTAATGTTTAGATGAATTATTTTGAAAAATTCTCAGCAAAATTATAAATAAAAGAATGAAAAAATATTATATTTTATTTTTTTTAAAAAAAATGATACTTTAAAATTTCGTAAAAAAAAATTTTTTTACGAAATTTTTTTCCATTAAATCATTTAAAATAAAGAAAAAGAATGAAAATTGAAAAAAAAATTAAGAAAGCAAAAGAACAAATGAAAGCGGTTATTCGAAAAATGGAGCGATTAAATTGCCTTATTGGTTTTTTGGCGAATTATTTTTGTGAAGATGAAAAAACTTTTAAAGTTGAAGAAAGTTTTAAGATATTAGCTGCATTCCTATGTCGACTTCGAGATTCTATAAAAGTGGGTTCAATCATCTATCATCTAACACCTCATTTATCATTCATTATTTGCCGTCTATCAGTTAACTAATCATTTAGTTATCACCAGTTATCATTTTATTTTATTATCTTAAATCGCCTTTACTATAACTCTCTTTCTGATAATTTGTTTATCAAATTATATCAAATACATTTAAGGGAGCTAAAAAAGAGTTAGGATAATTTTTTTTTAATCGAAAATAAGTATCTATAAAATTCAAGGATAATCAACTACGATGGAAGAAAGAACAAAGAAATGAAGAACGTTTATTAGATCGAAAAGATAATTGTCGAATTCTGAATATAAAAACGAACAATAATGACGAGAATTTGTATAATATTCTCGGAGAAAAGTTCTTTCTTTTAACATTTATTATAATAGAAATATATCCATTAAATATCTTAACAAAACAAGTTTAATAATATATAATAATAATATATAATATAGTAATGTATAACATATGATAGAAATAATGATAAATAATTTATAGAATATGATAAAATTTTGATAAAAAATTGATAATAAAAAAGAATGACGAAATAATATTTAACTAAATGCAACTTTTTTCAGAAGATTTATCTTATTATTAGCTATTTATTTATGATAAATTTAAGATTTTTAAGATAAGTTTATTTTTTATCTTTATCAATATTTCGTGAAAATTAAATGAAAATGTGTGATATTTATGCAAGTTGGTTAATTTAGGCCATTGCCACAATCACAAAATCAGTGTGGCTGGTCAAAGATAAACAATGATAATTTTATGGAGAAATCTAATAATACGAGAAGTATCGACCAGGTAGCACCAGTTTCTATAGAATTTCCTACTTGAAAGCATAAAATAATTACCACCCAGAAGTTTCTGCTAATGAGAGGAAATGAGAGGAAATATGAAATACTTTCATATTTTGAGAAAATTTTTTTAGAAGCTAATCAACTAAAAGCTAATTTTTTCTCTCTTTTTTATAAACAAAGGCAATTATGAGTCGAAAAATTTTATCAATTATCGTTTAAATTATCATTTAAATTTTATCAATTATCATTAACAATTAAAAACATATCATAAAATACAAAATTTTATCAATTATCAAGGTATCATATCATAAAATACAAAAGTTTATCAATATCCAAAATATTTTATCATAAAATATAAAAAATTGACTAATAATGATTGATTTTTAGAAATTCATTATATTTATTATTCAGAAATTTATTATTCAATCAATTCAATTAGATCAAAAATAAATCTTTTTTCATCTCATTTTTATATTTCATTTTTTCATTTTGTATTTCATTTTTTCAATTCATTAAAAATATTATTGAACTATATTTTGAATAATTAATTTTACAATTAATATTAGTTTATATTTTTTGTTTAATAAATTTATTAACTTAGAAAGAACCAATTTTATGGATTGTATCCTCTTAGTGTCAATTTATTATTGCAATATTAAAGATGGACGATTCGTCGATGGTACATTTACGACGACGATCGCGACAGAAAAGCGATGCGATTTTGATAAGAAACAGTAAGAATTTAGACGAATTCTTGATGGCAGCTGAGAAACTCGAGAATCAAGTACTTATAACAAGTGTTAAGGTATAATTTTAACAAATTGAAATGATTTTTTATTAATAAAATTTGTATTTGCCGAATAAAGAAAATTATAGAATCAAGATTAACACTTCTGAATTACTTGCGAAAAATTTATATATGATTACGATTATCATTGTTTTGTTGTTTTATCATTATCATTTATCATTTTTATCATTTTTGATTCCTATCGCTACATTTGCAGAAAACAATACAAGAAGAAACAGTAGAGAATTCTGAAAATTGTTTAGTGCCAACGGAAAAATATTTATCTACTATCGGTATGATTTTGATAACGAATAAAATGTAATCTCTTATCACTTACCAAATTTCATGGCTTTACTTTTTTTATGAAAGGCATAGGGAAAAATTCCTTATCCTTATTTGGTTTTACTTTTTTATTGCATGCTGATATTAAGATATTAAGATTCTATATGGAACGAATAAAAATTTTAAGGAAAATTTATTATAATGACAGCATGAATAGGCAGGCGACATTTTACTTTATTTACAGCCTTAATGGCCTTGATAGATTTGAGAAAATCCAAACAATGCCAAGTTTATCGTTAAAACGAGATTGAAATAGTGAATAGGGGAAAGGATTTTTTCTTTCATCACTGGTTTTTGCTTATTTGTAGAAAAATTCAAATAGAATTAATATTTCTAAATTATAGAGAATTGATAAATATTTGATAAATTGATAGTTATATTTGTAAAGATATATGAAAAAAATAAGCTTAATTAGTTGAATAAAAATATTTTGAATAATAAAATATTTCTATAATAAAATAAATAATAACTTGCTATGTATATGACCGAAAAAAAATCATTTATTTTCTCTAAAATCTACCAAATTCTGACAAAATTCTCAATTCCCGCGGATTAGCATCCTCTACCATCTAAATTATTTGGTTATTCTACTCTAGAATGTCATACACCCTGAAGGGATGACCATTAGTGCTTTTTAGAATTCCTTCGAACTATTCAAATTCTCCTATTTTGCCTTCATTGAAACTCCTTCCTTCGCAATTTTAATCTCTTAGGCAAAATATTTTGATTGGCAAGTATTATAGAATCTTTTATATAGCTCTCCAATCCTGTCAATCCATTTTATCGACTCAACGATTCCTTTCTTTGTTGGTATCGAGGTATAGGCTCGTCATTGTTAATTTATCACAACGATCTAGTGCATTTTGGTACTCTTTACTAACATCATAACGCCTATTGAATCTTAGCTGGTCTTAGAGACTTTCGAAATCTCAAAATATTTCATTAAATTTTATTGGCAAATAATCCATTCATTTTTTAGACATTTATATTATATTTATATTTTATTTATATTTATATTTTATTTATATTTATATTTTTATTTATGTTTTATATTTTTCTAGTATATATATATATTTATATTTTATATTTTCCTTTGCATTTATATTTATTTATATTTATATTTTTCTTTTTTTTTTTTAAACTGCTCACTCCACCGATTTGTCGGATCCGGAAATTTCACCAATAAACTACTTGACAGTTGGTGGCTAGCACAATATGATCTTTTAAAAGGCTTATTGCTGTTGTGAATAACGGCATAATATACGGCATCGGTTATCTTAAAGGCTGACCTGTTAAAGAAGCCAAAACCAAAAGAAATTGCTTATTTTCCTCGCTCTATTCATAATTCTCTATAATTCTTGAAATTTCAGATGTAGCAACACATTCAGGATGTTCTCAAACGATAGCCAACGATGAAGTTCGTAATGAAAAACTAATTTCTAATGAAGAAAAAGACGATATTCATTCATTCGAAAAGAAATCATTTGAAACTTCATTAGCAACACAAACTCTTGTGAGTAAAAAAGAAAATTTGAGTCCAAAGGAAACTATAAATGTTCAAAAATTACCTCCTTCAGTAGTACCAAAAGTATTACAAACTACTCGAATGAAAAAAGTATTACAAAATCTTAATCAAACAGTTCAAAATAATGAGCGAAATTCAAATGGTAAAAAAATTTCATCAAATTCGCCTTCGCCTCATAAGAGTGAATCGTTAGAGAAAAATTCTAAAATTCTACATTCCTCAACTAAAATCACTACAAATTTAAATAATAAAACTAAATCTATGGCAACCTCCTCAACAAAAAATATATTACCTACAACTAGTAGTATAGCAACCAGGAAAATTGTTCCATTATCGGCGAAATATACATCAACAACAAAAAATATTCTCGAATCGACTAAATGCATACCAAGCGCAGGAAAAGTTCAATTAAGTTCCACTCTGAAGAACGAACAGAACCAACAATCTTTGTCAAAAAAACTTGCAGCATCATCGCCTTCGTCTACAAATCAAATAAAGCCATCAAATACTGTATCTTCTTTGCGACGATCTGCTATTAATATCACAAAATCTCAGTTATATGAAACAAATTCAAACATAAAAAATACAAATGTACGCTCAGTTAATGAAAAATCGTCGATTTCCAGTCAAAGTAGTGAGAAAGCGCGATTAAATCAACCAATTTTAAGAAGTACCATTGCTGGAACTTCTCGTATTACACCTATTTTAAAGAAAACATCATTTGAATCAACAAAAAAAAATCCCCTCGTACATTCAATCGCTTTAAATCAGTGTTGTTCGGGAAATGTTACGAAAAAGACGATTATCGATAAAGACGACAATAAAAAAGTTAATACTGAAATAAAAATTGAAAATAAAATACGTCCATTAGCTAATTCCACTAGTTCAACTACCTTATCAAATATCAATATTATCAAAAATACAGTAACAACGGAGAAAAACACCTCCTCATTGTTGTCGAAGAAAAATGAAAATACCGTACGAGCGCAAGAGAATATTTCAAAATCAAAAATTTCTAGCACAACGACTAGCAAATTTCGAAGTAAAAGTCCGAAAAAGGCGAATAATTATCCACGAAAATCGGATGATTCTTCACAGTTATCAATTCATTTTCATATTTCAACTAATAATACAAAATCTGAAACACTCACAACAAATTTAACAAAATCATCATTTAATGCGCCATTAAATCGTCCAAAATTGCCAACACCGAAAATTTCCAATTCATTATTATCGAAGAAATCCATGAAATCATCGAATAATTCGCAAAATGCAAATATTAATTTTCCACAATCAACGAGCGAACGAACGAAGCCACTTATGAAACGCGCTGATTCTTGTAGCACTGCATCTCGGCCTGCTTTAATTAAGACTGGCTCATTGTCTAAGCCTGGTTTCAGGTGAATGAAAATTATATCAGGTATAGTAAAGTGCTGATGATTATTGTTATCACCGTTTCGACTATTTTGTACTTTTTTTTTTTGTATCGGCTTTAACTTTGCGAATTCTATTATTCTGAGGGTGTCCTCTATTGATAATACAAAATTATATATTTTCGATGAAAACCGCTTAACTTTTTAGCTAATTAGAATAGGTGTTACTACAGAAATAAATAATGGAGAGAGGCGAATTGAGGACTTCATTATGAAGAACAATACGGCTGAATATTTTCCTCCAACTGATGCCAAGGATTTTCTTTGGACAAGTTTAATTTAGAAATTAATTTGTACTTTTATAGACTTTCAGATTTTCAAATTAGAAATTAGTGGAACTAAAAGTACTATTTAGAAAAAAAGATGAATGTATAATTAATTTGATCCAGAGAAAAAACATCTATCTAATTAGCTAAAAAAAATTTATGCGACAAGTTGGGCACCTTAAATTTAATTGTATTAATATTAATATTAAAAAATATTTGGTGCTTATAATTTTAATGTAATATACGAAATATTAAATGAATAAATAATCCAAATTTATTTATTTATTTAAGAGTTTTCACCATTACTGATTAAACTCGCTCCGCTAGCTTTTCAAAAATACGCTAGAGAGTCCTTTGGCAATAGAAATACAGGTGAGTCGCAGCTATCAACCGGATTTTTGGACAGGTTTATTCCTGATGGGAATAGAACCTTATCGGCGCTCTGAATTGAGCAACACTAAATCCACTAAACCATCATTGTTAATCAAAATTTATAACCGATTTATGATTGGTCTAAAACGAGCCTTTACTTATGGTACTTGTTATGTTAAGTAGTCATATGAGAAAGATTACAATACTTGATTCAACATTAATCGAAGCAACTATGCCTTTTTCTTTAAATTAATCTTATCCGTTTCGTTTCATTAGATCATTTATTTAACCTGAATAAATAAAACATTAGCTGTGGATGGTTTAGGTCATCTTCAATCTTGGATTCATTACCAGAAGTCTGGGGGCTTGAATCTGAGCAATATTACCTGTCCCTAGCTCTTTTTATTAGTCTTCTTGAAGTTTCTGAAATCTGTTGAAACCACTTGTCTACAGCTACAGTTCCTAGGTCCAATCATTTGTACAAAACACTTTGGCCTCCCACATTCTCTATTTCTTTTTTCAATTCCTCATATTTTTTACTTATTCCTTCTTCCAAATGCTGAATTGCAATGCAAAAAATTGCGCCTCACAGAAAGTTTTATTAGCTTTTCGATTATAAATAAATAATTAAAGGACTTAATCCTAAATAGTAAATAATATCGATTAATAAAGCCAAGCCAATAAACTTTTCCTAAAAAAAGAAAAATAATTGAATAAAAAAGCCATAAGTGCGATAAACTAAAGAATATCACAGTTACAACAACAAATATATTAATACAATAAACAAACCTAATCCCGCAAAAAAAAAAGACAACAATTAGGAATGTCCACAATAAAAAAATATATAGCCAATACATTGAATCGAAAAACTCAATGCTAAATGGGAGGAAAAAAAAACCTTTTCGGAAAATCCACAAAGGCACAACAATAAACTGACACTTCTTGAATGCATGAATATAATTGGAAAAAAAAAAACAAAACAATAATAATGAAGTTATTGCAGCGAAATATTCCAAATTTGGCCTTTGAAAACAATAAATAAAATAATAAATAAATCCAACTTCAATTGAAATAACGGCTAAACAAAATAACGATTTTAAAATTATGATAATTATTTAAAATTTATCAAGAATTATAAAATTTACAAACAAAATTTACCAAAAATTCACAACGATTCACTTTGATATCTTCAATTTGTTAAATATTAAATGATTAGGAGTATTATTTTTGCAGTAAAATTGACGAAATTTTTCGAATTTACGATTGTAAATCCTCATTTTTTCTCATAGAATCTATGTGCTTCCACTGTATAATTAACAGTCAAATTATAAAAGAAAAAACTAAATATAAAAAATATTAAAAATATTGCTTATTATTTAAATAGATTAATAAATTCGGAATATTAAAAAACAAAATTTTACAAGAAAAACTGGCAAATTTTTGAAACTCTTCCCTGAAAAAAGAATTTGGTATTCAAAAAGCATAAACTTCAGTCGAACAAATGGAACGGTTATTTGCAGTTATAATTCATTGGTAAATTTATAACTTGAGTCCTTCTAACTCCCATTTCTGTAAATCTCGATTGTAATCGCAATCGGCAAGCTCTATTTTCTCAAAAGCAATAATTTCCAAACATTTACTAGAAGATCGATGCCTCAGAATTTTTGCCTGAAAAAACTTTTCGTTTTTTGAAAATCCAAGATTAGGAACCACTTCAAAATAAACAATAATTTAATTTTAACCTGCACATCAAATGTAAAAACTTGGCTAGGAGATGGAGATGGTCCACTAGAACAAGAAGTTGAAGTTAAAATTTTTTTTCGTTCTTTATCCATAGTATCTAAGCAAGTCTCGTCGTTACGCAATTCACCGTTCAGTGTCAAAGACCAAATCTATATAAATCAACATTATTTCAACAAAAATAAAAAAAAAAATTGTTTCAGAAAGGGAAAAGTCACCCTAAAATTAAGCTGTTGTGATATGGAAACACCGGTCAAAAAAGACCGAAATCCATTTAACATTAATTTAATAGTCATATTAGATAAACAGAAATAATCTACAGCTTTTTTCTAAGGAAATTGGAAAGCCAATGAAACTGAAAATTTCGAAATATATACATCAAAATCAACACCAATATTAATTGATAGATTTAGATTACAAAAATGAAAGATAAAGATTCTGATCTGTCAGGAACAAGTATGCCATAAAAAAATAATTTAAGTGGAGCACTTGCACTTATAAGTACTTGTACTTCTACCGAAAATCATAAAATTAGTGCATAAAAAACTACCTGACTTCCACCAAAGTTGTGACACTGATTTGCTTTTAAAGTCTTTTGATGATCAATTTCCATGCATTTTTTGGTGAAGGGATTAATGATCTAGAAAATTGTCATTTATTTAAATTGTCATTTATTTTAACCTAAAATTAAAGAAACTCTCTTTGAAACAAAGGCAAACCTTCCCAAGGCTTAAAAAATCCTTTGGAATTGGCGCTTCTGGGTAAATATTTTCAAGATACCAACGAAAAGAGTTGCACTGGAGATTTTCACGCAAAATCTTCCTTTTAGTAACATCACCAAAATCAACTCCTCTTGCAGCTAATAATAAACAGCAGTAACAATAGTAAATAATAAAGTAAATAATAAATACAAACACAATAAAATAGTAAACACAATAGAAAATATAAAAAAATGGTTTTTACGGAGGAAAACTAAATCTATCATCTGGGTGAACTTCCCAACAGAAAAGATTTTGAAGTCAAAAGTTTTTTTCAATTGCACTTTCAGTCATTCAAACACTTAGATCTCATAAATGAATAAAAAACGACTGAAAAGAAAAAATCTCCTATACCAGGCGATATATTGTAAAAAAAGTATTTATATTCATCCATCCAAACTTCAGCAGTTCTAGCCGCATTATGATAAATAACATAAGACGTTCCGCCAGGGAAGGTATATGGTGTTTGTTTTCGAAATACATGACCGACTCGTGAGCAAGGATGTATTTCCAAGCTGCCACCGCACATCCATGCCTGTGAATGAAAAATTTTTGGACATTATAATCAAAAACGCATAAATTTGATTGTAAAAAATCATTATATCAGTATTTTCATGTGAATATAAGTATATTTTAATAATTTGATAAGATATATACTCTGAATGAAATTTCCAGATTTTCGCCTCCCCAAACTACCATTCCTTCATCATAAGAACCAATATCGTAAAAAAATTGACGATCTACAGCAAAAAGACCTCCAGCGATTGTAGGGGTCCTTCAAGAAAATTACAATGATGATTGATAAACAAACAATATTAGTAGATAAGAAATTCCGAACAACTCAAATTTAGAATTATCTTTTTATAATTGCTTTTATTTCCTCACAAAACGATTTTTTCAAAAACTCATTCATTCAGTGAATTCAATTCAGCTTTTTCTTCTTGGCTAAAAAAAAGAAGATAGGAAAAATTACTGAATTGGAGAAGCACGATCATGATTTCTTCGTTCCATTTCACGACTTGGCACCTGAAAAAATGAGCTTCAAAAAAGACATTTGAAAACGAAATAAACGGTGAAACAAACCTGGTACCATCGAAAATTCAACTGCCAATTAAATCCACCCCAAGTCGACTCTGATGCAGTAATATATTCGAAAGTGTCGTCTGAAATCACGTCAATGATAGGAGCTACAATTCGTTTTCTATCTTCCTGAATTCGGCTAAGCAATGGTTCAAGCCATCCTTCGGTTGTTTCCACATGGGCGTCGAGAAATACTAGAACCTAAATTGATAAATAATAAATCAATGAAATCAATTAGAAGTGTACATTCATTCAAAAAAGTAAAAATTGAAAAATGGATAAAAAATAAAAACAAATGGGCACCTTTCCTTTAGCGACTTTTGCACCTTCTAATCGAGCGCGAATGAGGCCTGAACGCTCAGGTAAATGTATTAAATTAACCGCAACTGGTAGCCGATAAATATATGCGCCCAAGGGCTTTTTTAAATAAGCTAAAATTGATCAAAACCTTTAAAACAATTAGTGAAAATTTAATATGCCTATTTCAAATATATCCTAAAATGAACATTTTTCTATATAATAATGTTGAATATTCGTTAATTTAAATATATATATATATATTATAAATAAGATGTAAAAACATACGCCGATCTGAAAGATCATCCACTAAGATAATCTCTTTTATTAAATATATAGGACTTCTGTTTATCAAAGAATGCAGCGTGCGAAGAAGAGTACTCCAAGCTTCATTATGAAAAACAATAATAACTGAAACGGTCGGAAATTGCATATTCTTGTAACGATATGAAGATTCTCGACATCTAAAACATATTAATGTAATATGACCGAAAACATTTAGACACATTCCCCTTCTTAATAAAGTTGCATTGCAGCAAAATCGGATGGTAAAGAAAAAAGAATACTTCGAAGATCGATAATCAGGTAAAGAACGATTGACAGAAATCATATCTGATGCCATAAGATTGAACTGATTGAGTAAAAATTTTTCAGCACGCTCCTTTTCAAATGCTGGATCAATATTCACAGGACTACCCATTTCACCCGGTCCACCTTTTGCAAACGAAGTCTCTTAAATAGCTATTTGAGAAAAAAAATTAAAGTAATGATATTTTAAAAATATTTTCAAGATAATCCAAGATATAAATTAATATAACAGAAAAAATACTTTTATTTTAAAATTTCAAATCAGTTCTAAATAAAATTGAGCATCAAACTGCCAAAAGTCTTACGTTCCAAAAGAAATTTTAATTCTGCTTCTGCTACAGGATCGACAGTTTGTACTCGGAAATCCAAATCTGACGTTCTATCTGCACGAAGTATTCGAGGATTCCTGAAATGAACTTAGTAAAGAAAATAATTTACCAAAATTTTCCAACCATTTTCTTATAAAAAAAGATTTTTTCTAACATTTCCTCCTAAAATTTTATTTTCTAAGAATTTTCAAATTAATAAAAATAGTTTTTTAGATGGTAAGTGAACATATTTTTCAAAATTTTTCGAAATATTAAAAATTTACGAGAATTTTGTTCAATAAAAATTTTCTCACCTGATTGAAATTTATTTAATCTATAAACGTTTATCTGCCACAATAGTTACTATAATTTTCTTCAGCAAAATTTTTTCAGTACAAAAAATATAAAATACGATGAATTAAAATTAATATTAATAATTGCTTATAATTTTTAATGGGATGGCTAAGCCCGATGTAATATTATAGCGATATTTCTAAAATCCAGTTTATTCAGTACCACTTTCAAATCATCATTCATATATTCAGTTCATTTTCCTTAACAACTAAAACAAAAACCAACTAATTATTTTATGAAATTTTAAAAAAAAGTCTAATGCATCAATTCATTTCCGATTTACACTGGAGATACCCGAGATCTCAGCGACCTCTCTTAGAGACACTTGGCTTCTCGTTGTTTCAATGACTAATATGAGGCTTTTAAATGAACATCTCTGGCAATTTTCAGAAGATCCTTAATATTTATTTGAATATATTTTTTTCAAAGAGAGAACAGTTCTCTCGCAAATGAAATGAAATCGAATTCATCTGCCTATGCTCAATCAAAAGCTCAACAATTAATCTGCCTAATTAAGAAATAAAAATTAAAAATATCATAATTATAATTATTATGATAAAAATTATTTAGAATTCTAAATTTTCTTACTTATAACATTTAGAAATAGATTGGAATCGTCTTTTTTTTATTTATTTTTATTTATTTTATTTATTTTTTATTGTTATTATTTATATTGTATTAAATCTTCGTAAATCCTTCATTCTAATATAATAAATTATAAATTATTTTCGCAAAGCTTGCCAATTTATTTCAGAAATAAATTTAATCCATTAATTAATTATTATTCGATTAATTCACTAAAAAATATTTTCAATTTTTCAAATTTTTGAAAAACGATTTTTTCGAAATTTAGAAAAAACAAAAATAGAAACAAACTTTACAGAAGATGTGTCGAGAAAGTAAAACAACATAATAACGTCAATCATCATCCAAACGATCGAGGTTAGCACGATTATTCGACAAATTTCCATTCGATTACGCATCTTAAAAATTATTTAAAATTTATTTTAATTTTTAATTTAATTCAAATTTACAATTTAAAAAAAACGGAATAAATTTTACGAAATAAATAATGAAATAATTGAAAATTTTATAAATTTTTCTTTTGTATTTCATTGTGTGAAATTTTTTTCAAACAAAAAATATTTAAAATATTTAAATATTTACATAAATATAATATAAATAATATTTAAAAAATATTTCAAACAGAAAAATAAAAAATAATTTAATAATTTTAGATGGAAAAAATTTTTTTTATATACTCACATTTTTGGGTTGTTTTGAATTATCGAATTTGCCAATTTTCATACGAAAAAAATCTTCGTCGTTTTCGATATTTCCACATTTCACTTAGCTTTATAATATAAATAAATCAACGAAACGCTCGAAAACTTCCATCACTAAATTGACAAAAACGATAGTTTGGTAAATTGACAAAAGTGATAATAAACAACAACAACCCAAAAATATCAATGCAAATATTAACATGCTCAATGATAAGACTGATAAAAATATCACTCATATCACTTTACGCTAAATAATTGTAACATAGAAATTTGATGAAAATTTTATGAAAAAATTTAAATAAATTAAAAAATCGAAATCAATTAAAAATTAAATCAATGAATTTATTTATTTAAATCAAAGCAAATGCCACGTGGAAGAGAAAAATTTTAGAAAAAAAGAAAATTTTTAAAATATTTTTCCAAAAAAAACAATAATGAAAAAAAACTGGGAATTCGTTTTTTTTTTTCACTTGTAAAATTCAACGCAAAAATTTAATTTATTAACGTTTAAAAAGCAATAAAAACCATTTAATAAAATATATTTATAAATAAAAATAAATTTTTATAAATAAAATAAACGCTGCATTTGTTTTTCTATCGTCAAATGACTCTCTCATAAATAAAATTTTTAATTTTTCCTATTGGAAATGAAACCAACGAAGCGAGCGGAAACGGCGGAGAAATGATGACAACCGCTTTAGATAACCGCTAAAATATAAATTTTGAAAATATTTGAATAAATTTGAATATTGCAAAGGACAAATCATAATTAAATAAGGCATTTGGATATTTTTTAAACAAGAAAAAATTATTTAAAAACCAAAAATAAATAAAATTAATAAATTAAAATAAAAAAAAGAGAGAGAAATCTCGAAATCGGAAAAAACCAAACACTTTTATATCCAATCCAAATACTTCTATTCGTAGAAATTATGAAGGAAAATGAATTAAAACCTAATAAATTTGGAATCTGTTTGCACCACCCATTCCATGGTACCAAACATCTCGCCACGTCACCACTTCTTTACACCAATTTCACCACCTAAACCCTCATCAATCTATGGGTTTCTAAGGGTTTTTTTGAATTCATTGAAACGATTGCACCTGCCGAACTTTTCACAATTTTTAGCCGCAAATTACCGAAAAACTTCCGAGTTTTAAACGTCTTAATAGAAGAAGGGGGGAAGAGTGGTGGGAGAAGGTGGCTGTGGAGTGGCGGTGGGAGGGAGGGGCGTGGTTGTACCTTCGTTTATATGGTGGTTAAGGAGGAAGGGGGATTTTTAGTTGTGCGTAATTTTTGACCTGTGTGCGCTTGATTATCGCCTTTAAAAGCAACATACATTAAGGGAGAGATTGAAAGAAATAATCAACAAGTGGCCCTTCTTTTTTACTCGTCCTTCTTTTGAATTTCTACCGATCTAGCGAGTTCCATTGGCTGTATTGGGAATTCTTGGCGAATCAGCGGGGGGGAGGAAAGTACTAGGAGCTTTTCAATCCTTTAAAGATGAATTTACTCGCGTTAAAAGGAATCGAACCCAAATACTTGAACTGCTCATCTCATTCTCTTCTTTTGCCAAAAACTCCAATTACAAATTTCGTGGAAATCCTCTCCTTTTCCTTTTTCCCCTTTGAGTATTTTCCTAAAGCTGTTGTTTCCCATTAATATTCTTCTCATCAACTTTCTATTTTGCCCCAACAGGTAAGTAAATTCTTACACCTTTCCTCGCTATATTTCCATAACTTCCTTCGAAACCCCGTTATTTTCTCTCAACTCTCCGTCAGTTCTCGCAGGCTTTTGTCGTGCCTATTATTAGACTTAACCTTAAATATCCCGTTGTTAGACTTAACCTTAAATATCCCGTTGTTAGACTTAACCTTAAATATCCCGTTGTTAGACTTAACCTTAGATATTCTAGCTTAGCTCTCCCCCTTCATCCTTCTTAAACACCATTATTTCTTCTTCAGGCACTTTCTCAGGAATCGTTATAGCTGCATAAAAATCCTCGTAATTTTCTCAGAAAACCGATTATATTCTGCTTATTTTTTCTTCAAAAACAATTTTGTCTGTCGTTTGCCTATTCCTTTTAAAAATTGACGAAAAATATTAAAAATATTGTCTTTGGATAACAATAAATATAGGCAGTTCGTCGACACAGCGTCTGATGCACAGGAGTTTCGTATTATATCTTATTTTTTCATTATTATTGTTTAAGTTGGTTCCATTGGTTTCAAGGATGAGGCATTTCAAAGCTGCTTGAGTCGTTGCCATCAAAGTAACGTACGCCATTCCTTTCTCCATCGTCTAAATCTCCAAAATCTCTACTAATTGCATCAGCGATCTAGGTTGGTGCTCTTCATTTGCTCTTAATTTCATCATAACTTTATATGCGATCGAGCCGATTCTATGGAATTTATGTTAACGTGAAACCATTCGCTGTAATTATTTAAGTGAGTATTTATTTCTTATCTCCGATATAGCGATTCGTAATTCCAAAGAAAATAAGGGCCCTAAGCTGTGAAACTTTGTGTCAAATCCATTTGTATTGCTAAACCCTGTAATATTTCTTTATCACTTTATTATTCCCTTATCATTTCCCTCACATCATATCATATTCATTTAATATTTCTGCTTTCTTCTCCGTCTCCTGCATAATTCGCTATCAAAAATGCTTAAAAACCCTTTTGCACCCCTGCAATTAAGAAATCGTTTCTCCATCATATGCAACAGTTGTTTATCAAGCCAAATTAAGGGTTCATTCGAATCTTATATACCCCGTTGTTTTGAATTTTGTTGCTTATCGGAATGATTTTATGAGACTTTTGCCTTTTCATTTTTTTCATTTCTTCGTTACAACATTCTTTTTTCCTATTAATTCGATAATTTAACAATCATTATTGTTGTTCAAATTTTTTTAAACAAATAATTTGTCTGATATACTACCAAATAATTAGATGTGTAAAAGTGTAACACAAGAAAAATAAAGCCATACAGGGAAATGTTAATCAATAAGCTCATTTAGGTCAAATGCGACGATAATATTGTCGCAGAGTACCATAAAATAAAAAATTTGTCGTTGTACTATTGCGAAATTAGCAATTAAAAATTATCTGAACTAATAAAAAAAAACGTTACAAATAGGAGTGATAAGATAGATTATCAAAGGGAATAGTTTAGTCATTTATTATCGGCGAAATATTATATGTCTGCAAATTTCTTGGAAAAGATAAAAGTTAGATTTATATTTTTTTTAATTTTTTCGAAAAAACTTTGAAATTTATAAATAACATTTATCAAATAAACAGCGAAAATAAAGACTGCTAATCACTAATAAATTTATAATGTATAGATAGACTTAGACTTGTATAGACTTTTAAAACTTTTATTTATTGAGCACTTTTATTTATTATTTTAATTAAATTAAAATAATACATTCAATTCATTAATTATTATGGAAGAAGCAAAAAAAAATCCAGATTTAAATAAGGATTACGCAAAGATATCAAAAATAAAAGGCATAAAATTAATAAAAAACAAAAAAATGAATTTTTAGAGAAGTTTAATAATTTTCTGAGAAAACATTCGTTATTGCGAAGAAAATTTAACTAGAAAATAAGAAATTTTCAAATTATTGCTTAGATTTTTTTTTTTGCAACAATGCAATAATTTGTTGAATTGTAAATTTTGTTTAAAATTTCGAAAAAAATCGTTTTAATTTCATTAAAAAAATGATTCTAAGAATGATTATTATTTGCTTATCTTTCTTATCACTATAAATAATCTCATCACATCTTATCACTGTAAATATATAAAATATATATCAAATAAAATGGACGTATATTAGAAATATTTCATTCCAATCCGCCATATTTTTGCCATGCTTTATTATAATTCTTTAACTTTCTAACTAAATCTATTTTGCTGTTAAAAAATTTACTATTTTAATTCAAATAAAATTATTATTAAAATTATTAAAATTGTTATTTTGCCTAAATAAAGAAGAAAAAGCGGATAAATTACTACAAAATATTAGCTATAAAAAAAATTGAAATAAAAAAATATGAAATTTATTGCGAAGGTTTTGCTAATCTCTGATCAATTAAATAATCGGCAACATTTTTACCATCGATAAACCATCGTGCTGAAACACACGGAATTTCTAACGTGTCAACCTCATTGAAATAACTCCATTCTTCGATTGGTTCAATTTCAACTGTTTTTACTTGATTAAATATTGTACATAAAAACAATTGAATTTCTCGATCCCACACATTACTATCGTCTTTTGGTGTTATTCCAAATATCTAAAAAAAAGGATTCACATTTCAATTTCAATGGATTTTTATGAAAACTTGTGCGCATATACTATCAAAAAAAAAAAAGAAAACTCAAAAATATTAAAAATGGGAAAACCTACTTTGCATTTGAGCAATAAAATCTTGCGCAAACCAAGAGGTAACTTCAAGCGACGTATATTATGTTTTCTAACAACACCAAACGATCCTATATCAACACAGTACACGCGAAAACAATCTGCATCAACTGCGCTTGGACCGAGCAGTTGAACACGTTCCCATTTCAAATCAGATTCTACTTTTGCCGCATAGAAGCAGCCGACTTTTAAATCAGCAAAAGGTAATATCGATGTTTGTGCAAGCGAGTCTTTTTCCACTTCACTTGCTATATAATCAGGAATAGGGTCCTGAAATCAAAATTTCGAGAAAAATATAACAAAATAGCACTGATTTTTCTTCTAATAGTATACCCAATTTGGTGCCGCACTTAGATGACTTAATGGCAAAAGGACCACTAAAAAACAAACTCTACCTAATTTACGCTCTTGAAGATAGGTGCAAAAGAAGAAAATTAAACCAAAAAACTTCAAAAAATTAAAAACCATAGTGGCCGAAGGATTATTATCTATATTATCACTTCGATTTCAATGTCATCAGCAAGAAAAAATCAGTCACTAAAAAATTCAAGTGATAATGGAGAGTGGAGAGCAATCTGTATTTCTCTAATTGCTATTTCAAAGTTTATTAGGCAGTGGGGCAAGCCTAGCCAGAATTAGCCAATAGAACTACTTCATGTTAAATAAAAAATATGGATGTTTAAAAGTTTAAAATTGCGCTAACATGTATACACTGTCGTACACTTATATTGATAGGATTGAAAACAGCGAGAACATGAACCGCAAATCGATTTTTTGGTAATTCTGATAGATTCATTGAAGTAAGGATGATTTCTTCATTATCACCCCGATTATCGATTCCAGGCATGGGACTTAATGAATTACTTGAAATAAAAATATTGCTCATATGAGGTCTTAATTCCAAAGAAACGATTTTTTTCCAAAAACATTTTAAATAAATGAATTTTTTTAGGTGAAAAAATAGACTGAACAAAAAAATTCGAAAATTTTTCTTAGTAAATTGATTACAAGCTTTATTTTAAGAGCGTCAATACAACATTAGCAGAAAAATTAATTGTGGAACGAAATAAAGATTATCAAAGCTACAATTGAATAAAAGAAAAAAAAAGTGAAAGTGATTGTGTTAAAATATTTTCAAGAAATTACGAAAAATAGCCATAGAAATATAGCCAGCAAAAATATTTTATATTTCAAATCAAATAATAATAAAAAAAACCTTTTTACATCATCGTAACGAACAAAGTATATTCCATCATCACCAACGGAAATGAAGCGAAGCTGAATAAATCCATGTAAATTCGACTCAGGATTTTATGGAAGAAAAAGAACCATTGTAAAAAATAAAAGAAATGAAAAATGTCAAATTAAAAAACTCACAGGAATAGAATATTTATTTTTTTGGGCATCTTGCAGTACTTTCAGATTGTTAGATGGATCTAATGTGACGGCAAACGCATAAATCGGATATAGACGAGGTAATGCATATTCGGCTCTGAGACGTTTAATCGTTTTTCCTTCGGCTGATATATATTGTCCCAAATCAACAAGAAAAAATTTGTTAGATGCCTGCGATTACAAAAAAATTATTGAATAATTTGCTTCTGGTTAATGAATTAATGAAAACTAATGATGATAAACTAGTGATAAACTTTTTTCCTTGTTTTAATGATAAAAATAGAAATGTTATGGATATAATGATATTTATTTTATTTTACATATTTGCAAAAATAAACCTTATAAATTGCTCTATAGAAATGATTATCATTTTTAACAGCATAAACACCATCTATTTCAGGTTCTGTAACAATTTCACCATTTGATTCTATACCATAATAATTATCCATTGTTGAGCATAATTGTTCAAAATTTTTGACTTTACTATTAAGCTGTACGAATATTTCTGCTAACGATTCACAAGAAACAATAACAACATCAATTACAGATCGAAATGCGATTGGTTCCACAGCAAATATAGTTTTCATCTGAAACAAAATTGATAAAAACTGGCTTATGATATGGCTAAGACAGTTGAATCAGTTTTGAGTAAAGATATTCTTTGTTACTTCCTTGTTGATTATTTTAAAGAGGAGTTTTATATCTCGAAAAAAAGCGAATATCATATAATATCTCCTTTGTCGAAAAATCATATTTTTTATAAATGCAAAAAATATTAAAATAATAAATAATAATAAATAATAATAAACCTGTTGAGCTAATTCCTTATCTGTAAGTCTTATGCGTGGTGTCCTTTTACCATTAGGTGATTGCACTACTGCGCCACTAATTACTAAATGTCAGTTATAAATGTCAGTTATTAAAAAAAAGAAAACCAATAATAATAAAGAAAATATGAAAAAATAAATAAATAATTATTCAAATTTCTTTAATTTTAAATATCAAAACTTAAATCAAAACTCGTTTAAAACTCGTTAAAAAAAATTGAATAAATTATCTAACCTAAAATGTTTCGCATAGGCTGCGCTTCTTTAATTGGTGGTGTATTACGCTGTCTCGTATAAATCATTGTAATTGGTCCACGACAAACCACTTCAAATTCATCAGCAACCTGGACGTGATCCAACCAATTATCCGGTAAAACTGGACCCAAACCAGTTGTCTCATAACTATCATATAAGAAAATCATTAAAAAAACGATTTGAAAGAATAAATAAAAATAAATCAATTAAAATATAAAATTAACTGCAATTTATAATCATAGAGGGAAATAAATAAGATGCGACCAATTTATAAAATTATTTATAAAATGCGACCAGTTTATCACTCTCATCATATACCATTATATACCATTTATGCTTTATTGAATACTAAAATATTAGAAATCCTAGAAATACTAGAAATTCTTCAGTACTTGGGAATAAGGTGAGTCCTCGGTAACCATTCATGTTTTATTAATGACTTAAGTCAAAGAGGCAAAAATGCTACCTTGCTCACCGCCCCGTGCACCACCAACATTCCTCCTCTCCCTTTCTATGTAATAGCTGACATGGCTTATATATTGCAGAAACAAAAAATTAGGAAAATTTAATAAAATGACGAATGAAAAACAAGTATTTCATAAATAAATAAAAATTTTTTACCGAAACCAAAATTGATAGATTTTATTTAAATAAATAATAAATAAATGTAAATATAAATAAATTTGATGCAAAAAATTCATCAGAACATATTAATTAATTAAAAAAAAAATATAAATAAAGAGAAGTAGAAAAACATTTTAAAATTTTCTTTAAAATTCAAAAAAATTAAAAAAAATATTTAAAAATATTTGTGAAAATAAAATTTTCGAAAAAGAAACCTTTCTTTATAAATTTTCGCTAAATGTTCAGCAATAACGCCCGACGCAAAATTATTTTTAACCAATTCATAAAGAAGTTCACGAATTTCTTCCATTTCCTCACTTATATCCAATACGCAATGATCATCTAAATTATTTTTTTTTATTTTTATTATTTTAATTTTTTAAATTCGAATAAAAATTTTTAAAATTTTATTTTAAAATTATTTAAAATTTTTATTTATTACTAATAATATTCTAATATTATATGATAATTTATAATAATTTTTGTTAATATTTTACTTAAAATATTTAAAATATTTAAATAAAAATATTTAAAATAAAATAAAAAATAAAAAAATAAAAAGAATAAATAAATAAAAAAAAAAAAAGACGAACCAGAATCAAAAATTGTATTCGGTATATCAGATAAATGTAATGGAATACTCATATTTAATAATTCGAAAAAAACTTTCTTTTTTTCCGATAAGAAAATTAGAAAACCAGTTTGAGCAACGCCTAAAATAATTTTTTAGGATAAAACGAGAAAATTTCAAGAAAAAAAAATTTGGCCATTTGGCAGTTAAGAGGAAAGAATTAAGCAAATAGCCATGCGCTTATGTTATGTTAATATAATATAAACATAAAACAATACTGATAATACTGATAATAATACTGATAAAGAGATAAAAAATAAAAAAATAATCGCAATATTTGAATATATTTATGCTATAATAATATCACTTAATATTTACGCAAAATTATTACGCAAAGCTATTTATCAAAGCTAACTCTCGACCTTTATCCATAATGACTTTCTGTCTAAAAACGACTTCCCCCGCCTCCCTCCCCCCTATCATCCCAGTCAGTAAGAGCCTCGAAACGTTGTAGCCAGTGAAATAAGCCTAAGAGTTTGCTAAACTAACTAAGTTCGAGGTGAAAATAAGAGTGATCAAAAGATCCTTTGAAAAATCGCTCGAATAACCCAAAAAAATTAAAAATACACAGTTGGTTTTTGCCATCAACAAATTGCCCAACAAATAAAAATCCCCTCAGGAGATATGGTGATTATAAATTATGCTTAGATGAACCGCTGGACAATGCTAATAATAGTAAACGAACGAATCGCCCGTAAATACAGCATTAATTAATTATTAACAAAGCTTCAACTTTATATTAATACGGTTCAAAAAAACGACTTTACGAGCATTTGATCTGCTTTTTTCAGTGACCCAAAAATGATACAAAACAAACAGATAAATAGAATGATAAAAAATAGATCAACAAACAATTCAACAATTTACAAAATATATGTTAATGAAAAATAAAAAAGTAAGTGCCGAATTTTATTCCATACACTACGATGTATCGACCTGATCGAATTGTTTGCTATCTATTAACGATTCGTATCGGCGAAAGTATTTTGCATTATGTTCGATATGTCGCTGGCCTGAACTTTGACCTACTATCAGCTTTTATCAGAAGATTATCTCATCTATTTACGCACAAAATTCCTAATATTTTTAGTGATAACGTACTGTTGTTAATTTAAAGAAATTATTAAGTAAATTGTTAAAAAAAGTTTACCATAAATCGCTTATCAGTCATAATTTTCAATGATTCCTTTTCCTCAAATTTTTATTTTCTCAACAAAAAAAATGTACAAAAGTGATAGTGATTAATGGTGCTTACCATTTCTGATAACACTTTATTAACGATTAGTACGACGAGAAAATTTGGAGATTTGCTAGGATACTTGGATGATAAAAATTTAAGGTGTAAGGTGTAGGGCGTTAGCGACCAACGAACCAAACAACCAACCAACCGGATTAATTTTTTATTAATACAAACGTTTATTTTTGATGTTGGAGCTTTTTTAATTGGCTAAATATTTTATCTTTTATCAAAATCTTTTATTATTTTTTTTATCAAATTTATTTATTTTTTAATTTTTTATTATTGATTTATATTTATATTATATATATTTTTCATTTTAAAAAGAAACAAATTTTAGTTGAGAAAAATGTTGAATCGATAAAATAATTTGAAACGTAAAATTATTTATAATTATTTATAAAAATATAAAAATATTTAAAATTTATTTAAAAAAAACAATATAAGATAAATAAATTATGATTTATTAATTTTTAAAATTTTTTCATTATTTATAAAATATATTTATTATTATTAATGTTGGTTAAGAAGAAAGGGGGAAAGGGGGAGGACAAGGAGAGGAGAGAGCGGGGACGGGGAGAGAGAGGGGGGGGGGGCATTACGAAGAGTTATGAGAGGTCGCAAAGGTAGCATTTATAAAACTGGTTGGAAGTCTGTTAAGTTTGTTAAGCCAATTGAATCAATAAAAAAAATTGAAATGAACAACGAATGTGTCTGTAGAGTTATTTTGAAATTGTTTTTGCGTTGTTTGCAGCAAACGAATTCATTTGATATTTATCTTTTTCACTAAATTTTATATAAATTTTTAATATTTTTTATATAAAAGTTAAAAGTTTATATTTTACTTAATTTACATTAAGTGATAATAATACGAGTTATCATATCTATTTTTGTGATTCGCTTATCAGTTCTCAGTAAGTTCAACACGATTTCTGGTTTATCAATAATATCTGTGTTGTCTTTATTGGCTGAGGTTTTTTTGTGTTAACAGGGAATAACAGTAGAGAGATGGAACTGCAGTGGGCCATCGCGATTTTCAGGTTTATTTCGGCTATAGAATATGAATGTTGAACGCTCTAAACGATTATAATCTAAGCACAAGTTTTCTGCCTGCACTCCAGCATCGATCTTCCAAGATGTATGAACTGAGCCATTGAACCACCTCCTAAGGAACCATATAAATTAAGAAATTATTAAAAATAATAAAACATTAATTTAAATATATAAATATATAATCTTGTTATAGGCCATTGGAAGTGGAAAATATTAAAAAGTCATCTACCTTTGACCATTCTAAAATATATTTTACGGATTTCGCGAGTGGATGAAATTTCACATGATTATATTCATCTTCGTTCATATACCACTTGCATTAATAGTACCATCACGGAGCGTCGTCGTCTTCGCTGGCTAGGATACCTACCAGAAGAGCTGCCACACATTTCATTATTTGCTAAATCCTGATTATGAAAAACTAGGTGAACCTATTAAAACCTGGACTGTTACGGTCAGGAAAGATCTTGAAAGTATAGTGGACCAGCAATATATATATTTTTTTAAAGTCTTCACCATTACTGCTTAAACTCGCTCCACCGACACACTTTACAAATGCTCGGGAATTCTTTGGTGGCAAAAATACAAGCGAGTCACTAGCATCATCCGGATTTTTAAACAGATTTATTTCTGCGGGAAATGGAACTTCAACATCGATACTTCGAATTAACAACAATCCACCGAGCTATTTTTTCCTTTTTAAGACCTGCATTGATACAATCAGGAAAGATTTTGAAGCTATAATGGACCAGCAATATATGGACTTAGACGGTGGAAAAAGGTTAGCATTGCATCAAACAGCTGTGGAAAACGGCTCTTACCTTTGTAGCCAGTGGAACCATCCTAACCAATAATGCTAAGAACTGTTAGAATTTATTATAAATTGATATTTCAATTTTGAAAAAATTTTTTCCATTTTATTCTATTTAATTTAATTTTTTATATTTAAACAGCTGAATTCATTGAATTATTAAAAATATTTTTTATTTTTTTCACTAATAAACATCCGAGTGGCTTTCTTCTTCTTCTAAGACACGATATTTCAAATTCAGTCAAAGCAACTGTCATTATCATATCAGTCAAAGCAACTATTATTATCATATCAGTTATCATATGCTTTATCTAATGATATTAAGCGCTAATAATAATATTCAGGTTTAATAAAATAAAAACCAGTAAAGAATTATTAAAAAGCAAAAAATTGAAAAAATAAAAAGAGGAAGGGGAGAAGTGGGGGGAGGAAGATGGGAGGAAATGAGATTCTATATTCCTGCAGGTAAATGCAAGTACCAGCATTCGAGTTTTTCGAATAAATCAACATCGAAAATTTTACTAGCACAGTCAATTTTCTAAAATTATCAAATTATCACAGTGAATAATCAGTGAATAATCGAAAGATCTGAAGCTAACAATTGAAGAATTTTACAATACATTTTTCAAGTCGTCAAATTGAAACATTTATCATTTCTTTTTTTTACGTAATTTTTATTTAAATTGATCCGCAGGGCAAATAAATGTGATCTTCCGAAGTCGATAAACAAAGCGAAGCCATAAAGCAATCTTACAATATTAACAATAACACAATAATATAAAAGAACCATATTTTGTGGTACTAGTGGTAAACCTGAAATTTTTCTCGTACAAAATTCATAAATAATAATTTTAATTATCGCTATCATCCAAAAAAAATTAAGTTAATTTTCCTTAAAAAAATTAATCGTATTTATATTTTATTTTAAAAATTTATTTCCATCTTAACAATTTTTAAAAATTTTCAAAAAAAATTTATAAATAATAATAATTTCGATTTTCGCTATTTTGTCGAATTAAATAATATTATAAAATAAATACAGAATTATCTAAAAAAATAAAATAAATTTTTCTTAAAAAATTTATCTTATTTATTCATATTTTATTCTAAAGATTTATTATAAAAATTTATCAACTTTTCATCTTAAAAATTTTTAAAAAAAATTTGTAAATAATTTTGATTTTCGCTATTCTGTCGAAATAACATTGCAAAAATAAATGCGAAATTATCTAAAAAAATGAAACAAATTTTTCTCAAAGATTTATGTTCATTGTTTTTGATAATAAAATTTTTCAAAAAATTTCTTTTTTTTTTAAATGTCCATAAATATTTAAAATGACCAAATGGAAATGAAAAATTCTAGTCATTTGGGTATTAACGAACAATACATTATCGTCGCTTTAATTTCAATGAACTCAATAGCTTGTGACCTTGAAAAATAACAATTATTTATAGTTCCTAGTTGACCTAAATTATTTCGACAACAAGCAGTTGTTGGTCAGTTTTCATACTGCTTGATCATTATTTTATCGATAAAACTTTTTTTTATTAAATGTGATAATTCGTTGATTAAATTTTAATTTTAAATTAAATTCATAATTTCAAAATATGTGCATCTATAAAGAGATTCCTCTTATAGATATAATTCTTGAAATCCCCTCAGGAGTACCACGCCACTAGTTACCTACTGGTACTGAGTTAGTCGGTACCTTTTCGAGTTTTATCTTCACTTTTTTCATACTTGCCACGTCCTTTTTATCCTCTCTAAATATTCATTCTCACAATATTAATTGCGTTTTGCGGTATTATAAAAGAGTAAAGGAATAAAATGGAAATGAACAGTACAATCAGTTCCAAAGAGGTTAAAGTTGCAGAAAGATAAAATTACTATTTAATTATGGTAAACAGGAATATTAAAAATGCTTAGCGAGTAGGAAGAATTTTCGTTGCCAATAAAATGGCCTTCTATGTAATATTAGAGGATCATGAAAAAAGGAGCTTTTAGCTATCCGCTTGACGACCACAGCATATAAGGAAATTTAAAGAGCTTCTATCGTCTGCTGCAAAAGAATATAAATTTGTTGGTATTAAAGAAGGAGTTTAGAAGGTTTTGAGAGCTGTGGACGATAACATTCTAACGTTCTAAGAAATTAATCACAATGCTAAAATCGTTAAAACAGTGCAAAGAAGATAGATTTATGGTAATTTTAATAATGAGATATATAATAAAAGAGCGAGATTTTATGGAGGGATTAATGGATGGATTTTGAGGAATTTCTTAGAAAATTATAGCGAAACTGTGGCATTCTAAGAGGGAATCCTTCTAATAAATAAACTACAGAACGGTATAGCTTGTCCGCCATCCCTAGCTATCTTTAAAAAAAGAATAGATAATATAATATCATTTATGATATTATGTAAATTTTATACTTCAAATTGATTTATTTTTATGTGATATTTATTCATTCATATGATCGTTTTTTTAATGATTTTTTTATATGATAATTATGAGACAACTGGTTTGGATGTGGACTATTAGAGGAATAAATCTAGATTGTTAAAAATATTATTTTAGGTTAAATTTAAATCCAACAAGAATTAAAGGGTTAAAATTACTAAAATCTATGTGTAAAACTAAACTGAGGACTCATAATTTCTTTATTCATAATATTAATTATTGAAATAAAAACTCCCGATCGATATAGCTTGTGCGCCATCCCTAACTATCTTTAAAAAAAATTAGATTATACCATTTATGATATTATTTAAAAAGTTCGCATCATGCAGGAAGTGTGAAATCTTTATTTTTACCATTCGATTATGGTTATTTCGAATTGTACTATATTATATTATTTTGCAATTTCCTCTTTATTTCATCTTCTTTAAATCTTTAAATTGTTTATTTTATTTTTTATCATTAATTCTTATTATTTGTTATTTTAACTGTTGTTATTAATACAAGCACATGGCGTTTGCGCCCTTCTTGGCTGATTTTCAATAAATAAATAAATAATAAAACGAGAAGACTTTGGCTTGGATGACTATGGTTTTTAAGAGGAATAATCGAATTTCGATTAGGGGATTTAATGAGGATTAAGAATGACAAATTTTTGAAAATATATGATGAATTTTATTCCACACTTCTATACTAGTAAATTATTGTTCCCAATGAACCAAACACCAATGAACCAAACACCAAACACCAAACACTGATGCACCAGCTTTATGAAAAAAATAAAAAAAATTTACCACTTATTTTATTTTGCTTCTCATTTCTATAATTTTAATTTTATAATAAAATTTATTTTTTTCGCTTTTTTTGCACCGTTTTTTATATTTTTATACTTAAATATATTTTTATATGCGATGGCTTAAAGGCAATTTTCATTCATCCTTTTGGATAGTTCTTATTTTTTCTCTTATAAAAATCTCAGGAGAATCTATGAATGCAGTTGGGTGTTAAGCTTCAATAAATGGATTATTTTAAAATTAATTCTTACAACGAATACATGAACAACTGTAATTAGCTGAGAAAATTGACGAATTTTATGCTAAATATGGTGTGTTTTGTTCTTTTGTTATTTCATCGCTGTTGTTTACTTTTCTTTTGTTCTTTCATTTTAATCTGATTTCTAAAATTTATTCGTTAATTTTCACACAAAGCGTCTATACCAACGTCAGTGTCATGCGTCACGCGTGAACTTTGAGAAACCACGTAACTACGTGAATTGAAAATTTTGACGTGAATTCGACGTTGTAAAAAACGTTGTCTTAAAAGTCTTGAAATCTTATTTCTATTTAAAAAAAAAGATTACGACCGAAATTTGACAATTTTTATTCTAACTTATCAAATTTTCACGTTTTTTTTTTCTAAGAACGCGTACCATTTCCGTTCGGACAAGTAAGATTAGATAAATTTCTTCCGGAAATCATTTGGCTATAAAAGTGAATCGTCAAGAATCATTCGGAAGGCAGGATTTTTGAAGATTGATTTATTCCTATGGCAAATAGAATTTGCAGCATCGGCGCCTCGGAAATGAGAGCAATAACCGACTGAGTTCTTCTTCATCAAATTATATTAGATGTAATTTATCATTTTGTGCTCAAAAAATTGTGATGAATTTACACATACGGTTTACTAGTGCTTATATGACGTAAAAATAATAACAGTTGTTGCCGTTTGAATTAAAATTAAAATTTTTATAAGATTTCGGATTTTTGGTTATCAAATTGCGTGTTTAATTCGAGTAAATATTTGATTATAGGCCTTTCTGGCTTTCTCATTCTTTTAACCTTTTAGTCTTTTTTAAATTGAATTTTAAATTAAATTTTCAAGGTTTTATAGATTCGATTAGAATGAATTAAAAAACGATTCTTTTGTACAAAAAATATGATTTTAGATATGATTATGAAGAAAAATTATTTTTCATAAAGAAGAGAAAAGAACCTATTCAACCCGTTCATAAATCTATTTCTCTTTACAAAAGGAATTTTTTTTTCTTCCTTTTCGTCCTTTATCGCGGATTCGGTTTATGGCTGCCTTTTTTGAGAGATTCACTTGAAAAATGGATGTAAATTTCCTAACAGCCATCTAGATCCGCAGCAGATTCATTATCTCTTAAAAGAAATAAGGAATATTTTCTCTTTTATCGAATTTTTATCTTTTATATCTCTCAGTCGGATTAACATAAAACTCAATTAACAGTGACTCTATATGAGAATAATTAAGAATGATAAAGAAAGAATTTAGAAAAATTTCAAATAATAGAAATGAAAAAAGGATTCGGAACATTCTTTCTCATTCTTTTTTCTTTTTGAAATAATATTTTTTCGTTATAATTTAGGAGCACTGGAGATACGATAATACCGTTGGAAAATAACGAGTTTGGCTGATTATGGTTCTTCAGCCTCTCGAATTCGCCGATTGTTTAGCAGATAGTCCATGGTTTAGGCAGAATCTTCACGAACATGAAGTTATTTTAGAGGAAACACATAAAAATATTAAAACTATCGAGCTTTTATGTCGCGATTTGGTTCAGTGTACTCGAAGTAAACAGTTTATTCATTTTTTTAATGGAATAATCGAAGTTTTTTTTTATTTATTTGATCTAAGGGAGGGTGAGAGGGTGCAATTTAAATACATTTAAATTCAAATAAATATGAATAAATTTTATATATATATATATCAATTAATTAAATTGCTTATAATTATATATAATTAAATTATATAAGTAAAATATAATGGTGATATTATTGGAACAAAGATTTTTAATAAATTATGGTTTTTTTAAATGAATTTCTCAATAAATTACAATTATCAAATTTTTCTTGTAGAATTATCGGCAGTACAACGCGCTTTCGCCAAGTCTTTAAAAGAATTCAAATTTACTGTTGTTGGGAATAATCAAACCGATGATGAACGTAAAATAAGTAAGGTTTAATAAGTTTTTTTTTTTCAATTACTCATTTGTACGGTTTCTCATTTGGTAATTTATAGGTGAATGTCTAAGCAAATTTGCTGATTTTGTAAATCAGATTGAAGATCATCGTGAGAAAATCGTAGAAGATTCAGAGACCCACTATATTGAACCTTTAAAGAAATTTAGAATCGATGTTGTTGGTCGGGTAAAATTTAAAAAACTTATCTTCATTCTTACGTTTTTTTTTAGTCCAATTGTATCTAATTATTTGACAATTCATTCTATTATTTTGCAGGTATTGCATGAAGATAAAAAGAGATATGAAAAAGAATCGAATAAATTTTATGCATCCCTCGAAAAACATCTTCATCTTTCCACAGTTAGTTGTACTTCTTATTTTTTCTAACAATAATTTAATAATTTTTCAAATTCTTTATTATCCTCAATTTATTTCTTATGGAAATGAATAAAAGAGTGGGGTCTTTAGGGTTGCATTTTCATTTATTTTTTAAATTTTAATTTAAATTTTAGTTTATTCTCTAATAATCTTTTTTCTTGATTGAACATTAATTGAACATTTGTTGATTATTTATTATGAAAATATTTAGGCACGAAAAAATGATTTCAAGGAAGCAGACGCACAACTTGATATACAACAACGAAATTTTTGGAAGTCTTCATTAGATTATGTCACAGCTATTCAGTCTGCTCAGGAGCGACTTAAATTTGAATTTGTGGAAACACTGAGCTCTTTTTTGTATAGCTGGTTGACTTTTTATCACGTTGGTATGTTTAATATATATTTTGGTTTTATAGTTTTTCTCGTTTGTTCCTAATTTCTCTTTAAATTTTATTGTAAATGAAGAACTGTTTGTTATTCATTTTTAAAAAATTTTCTCAAATATTCTACGAAATTTTTTTATATTTTGGTTTTTCTAATATATAAAATGAAATATTTAGGTCATGTTACACATGAAGATTTTAAACCCTATCTCAGTGAGGTGCAGTCCAAAGTGCAGAAAGTTTGAACATTTTCTTTATTTTATTTTCTTTATTTTCTTTATTGTTCTGTGCAATTTTTGGATTTATATCATTCCTAAAATTTTCAAGTTTTTTTATTTTTTGTTTTAACAAAAACTGTGCTCGCAAAATTTTCAAATGCAAAATTTGTCGAAAAAGTCTACAAGGAAGGTTTATAGGCAAGGCAAAGTTTTGATGAAACGAAAGAATGTTATGAGCATTTGAGGGAAAAGATGCTTGCAAACCATTTAAAAAGTGCCGTAAGTTCATGTTTAAATATTTAATTAATAATTATTGTTTAAAAGTCTATATTTTTTAATAAAATTATGTATTTAAAATTAAAAAGAATTAAAATTAAAAAAAGAAATTTTAATTTTTAATAGCTTTTTCATTTCCACTTTTCCACTTTTTCCACTTTTTAATGTTTTTTTTCTATATTTTATCCTTTATACTTTTTTTTTCAGGTCTTTCAAACGCAAAATTTGTCATCAGAAAATCAACCAGGTAGTAATCTTACTAGTATCAAGCAAGGCTATGTTTTCGTTCAAGAAAAAAGCAAAATCCCCAAAACAATTGGGCGTGATGTGCTTTCCAGTCGTTGGACTATGTATTATTGTGTGTACCAGAAAGAAACTCGCATCTTCACCATGATTCCTTCAAATAGCTCGACAAAAACAGATATGCGGGGAGCGTTGGGTCAATCTGTTTCTTTTAAAGTTAAATCTTGCACACGTCGTGCATCGGATACTATTGACAAACGCTTTTGTTTTGACATTTTGGCCGTAAATCGAACAGAGTCCCTAACTTTGCAAGCACTATCCGAAGAGGATCGCAGACAATGGCTTGATGCAATGGATGGACGAGAGCCGGTAAATTTATTTATGCTCTTATAGATTATTATTTATTTTTATATTAAATATACAATATCTTTTATTTTCTATAAGTTTGCTTTTAAAATTAATAAAGAATGTAAAAATATTTTTTTTTTTGCATTCGTTATTGATTGATATAATTTTCATTTCATTTTGCTGCTATTGCATAATGTCATTGTTATCTTTTCCACTGTAATTGTATGTTTTCATTTTCAGATATATTCTCCTGGAACAGGACAACAAAAAAGTGGATTTGAAAGTATGTTTATTGCAAATCTTCTATTATTGTAAATCTTATAAATCTTTATTGTAAATCTTCTATTTCCTTATGTTTACATAATTTAATTATATTTTCATTTTCTTTATAAATTTAATCTAAGCAAACTTTCGTTAGTTTAATAACAAAATTTATCAAAGCACTTTATTTACCATATATAATATAATCTATGATGTTTTAAAGTATTCTTTTAAAATTTTAGCTGTTTTGGATGATATGGGGTTCGATTTTATTGGCAAATGTTTAGAAATAATTGAACAGAAAGGTTGTATTGAAGATTTTATTACATTCTTATCAATATTAAGCTATTATTTAATGCCGAATTTAATTTGATTTTTCATTAATTATTTCGAAGAATATTCGATCTCTTGGAACTTTCTTTGCTTGTAATAAAAATGTGAAAATTTGAAAGATCTAAAAAAGTTTTATTGTATGGAAAAAATGATTGCTTTCTAAATTATTATTAAATTCTTTTTTTCCATTTTATATTCTTTTCTTTCAGGCATCTCAGAACAAGGTCTGTATAGGAATTGTGGAGTTTCATCTAAAGTTCAGAAATTATTGCAAAGTGGTCTAGATAAGCGTAAAATTATTAGGAAAGCAAGTACTATAGATGATGTTGAATGGGAAATAAAGACAGTCTCCAGCGCTGTAAAGACTTATTTGAGGTTTCAGATTCTCCATCAAATGCTTCTTAAATATTTTTGTCTATGAAAATAAATTGTTTTTTAGAATGTTTTCCCATCCCAGAAAAATATAAAATGCAATATAGAAATAACAGTAAAGCATTCATTTATTTTTTAATAACTTAATTTTTTTCAGAAATCTCCCAGAGCCACTTATGACATTCGACTTGCACAATAATTTTTTAAATGCAGCGAAAATGGATTCTGTGAAGCGTATTTCTCATATACATTATTATGTTTATCAATTGCCAAAAATGCACTTTGCCATGTTGAAAATGATTATAATGCACTTAAAAAAGTACAGTTTTGAATTTTTTGTTGTAATTTCCACGTGCTTTCAAAATTCGTTTTATTTTTACTGCTTTTCTTAATTTTTTTGTGAAAACGATTGTTCTTTATTACTTTCATCCATTTTTAATCATTTATTATCATTATTTTTATTATTAATTAATTCATGCAAATTATACAAATTTTTTTAAAGAGTGGCAGATCATTCAGACGAAAATTTAATGACAATCGGAAATCTCGGAGTTTGCTTTGGTCCCACGCTATTGCGGCCTAAGGAAGAAACTATGGCTGCAATTATGGATATCAAGTTTTGCAATGTAGTAGTCGAAGTTCTTATAACTAATTGTGATCTGGTTAATTTTTAAATTTGTAATTTATAAATACTTGGCAAGCCAGTCAGTTCAAGAATTTATAAGAATTTTTTTCCAGATTTTCAAAACGATACCGAAAGCTGTCGATTCTACTTCAAAAAATTCTATAGAATCAGATAATCCCTTAAGATTTTTGTTTTCAAAAACATCAGCTTCTTCAGTTAACAATACCTCATTATTCAGCGAGATGAATAAAAGGTTTTGCCCTCTATTTTTTCTTTAAAAACTATAAATTTTTTAAATTTTCATTTATAGATTGAATCATTTAGATGTGGCAGTGAACCTTCATGTAGCGTAAAAACTGCTGTTTTAAAAAGTTCTAATAATTTTGTTGTTTCTCATGAAAGATCGCCAAGGCCACCTCATATTTATGATCGAGTTGCTGGTTCGGTCCAGAAAAGTGTCAATGGTGCCTCCTTTTTTATTCGTTGTGAAATTTTTATAATATTATTCTGTTATTGGCTCTTAGTTTTTTCCGTCATTATATAGTATATTCATTATATTTGTAGATCTACATAAATCCCCACTTTCATGTTCTATTCCCCCTTATTCTAAGCCAAGCACATCTCTTGCTGATTCTATATATTCAATGGTTAAAAAAGTTCCTTCTACCACTGCTGCTACTACATTTAAACATACTTCATTGTGTGTAAGAGACAGTAACCATGAGTAAGTTGTAATTTTTTTTTGTTTCTCTAAATAAAAAATATGGATTCTCAAACACTAAGGTGTGGATAAGATTAAATAAGATTAAAAATTGAGCTATACTTTTCTTATTACTCTGTTTTAATGCCAAACTGTTAAAATCTTGACCTGTTAAATGTTTTATTTCCCTTTTCTTATTTTATATTTTTTTATACTTTGATCTATTAAAGCAAAACGGAACAAACATGTGATAATGTGCATCAAGAGAGCTCCGATTCTCTCAGTTCTAGGGCGAATGATTCGGATGGTTCGTGGTCATCCGCTGAACGACGAAATATTTTGCCCGATTCTCTGAAAGAGAGGGATGCATTTGCATTCACAAAAAGTAAACTTTTTATGTTTGTTTTTTGTTATGTTGCATTTTTTTACATTATAATAACTGATTTTAAGTACGGAAAGACTGGATATAAGAAATTGGCATCTAGCACAGCCAACTTTAAGGAAACATAACGATGTTCCTATTTGGGTTGAGTGCATATATTATTCTATCATTGTGAGAAAATGAAGGTATGATGGAATTAGAAATGTTTGGAAGATTATGCTAATTATTATAAAGCCGGTGTTACTGTTAATGGGTTAGGAGTAAATGAAGGCAGCGGACATTTACTGGATTTTAGAATAGAAAACAACAATAGAATCATTGGAAATATTAAGAGAGCGTTTAATGGATATTGAGGGAATATTGCACAAAATATGGCAGATTTCGGAGAATATAAGTGAATTTTTCCTAATTAACATAGCAAATTTTAATAATAAACAGTTCATTTCGGATGTACATTTCTTATTTTTTCAAAAATATTTCAAATATTATTAAGTCCATCTCTGTGATTATAAAGTCTTCTTAAATAAGAGCAAAATTTTACGAAAAATTTAGTTTTCCTTTTTTTTTAAATCAATATGGTAAAATCAAGTCTTCAGTAATGCTTGTGTAATGGATTTTAATGAATGGTTTCATCCTATAAAAACTTTTTTGATTTTATTGAACTAGGTCCATGTCAGATCATTCTAATTCTATTATTCGTAGTTATAGTAAACGTGTTTCAGGAGCGATAAAGTCGCCATACAATCCGTTATTCAATCCTTCAACCCAAACTTAGTAAGTCATTGTACCATAAATCGGAATAATTATGTGCATACTTAATTTAGGTTTAGATATACAACTTATTTTTGAAATCTCGTTTAATTTACTTGTTTTAGTCGGCGAGTCAAAACTTTGTACGTTTGTATAGCTGGTCATGATACAGAATTATCGTTTCAACCAGGGCAGATTATTACTAATGGTTATAAATTCGCAATATTTTTAATAATTTTAATAATTTTTTTAATTTTTAATAAATCATAAAAATTGAACTCAAAATATTATTGTTAGTATTAGTAATCGAGATATTAATAATTTATTTTATCGCAGTTTTAATTGTAAAAACTTAGAGAAAAAATAGAACTGATAATTTATATAGGTTATATAGGATTGACGCATAGAATTGAACTATTCAAGTGCTAAAACAATTTTTTTAAAGAAATTAAATTTATGCTATAATTTAATTTTTGTTTTAATTTTCTGTTAAAGTTTTCTGTAAAGTCAATAATTAATAACGTTATCTTAAAATAAGATATAGTATAAGATTTAAGGTATATAAAATATAGAAGGAATAAAAGATTTTTCTTTTATTTGTGGATTTCTCCAAAATGCCAAAAATAAATTTTTTTCTACATTATTGCTATGCAATTTCGAGTTATTTTATTTCAATATTTTTATTTAGTCTATGAATCGAAGGAAGAGGGATGGCTGGTTGGAACACTTAATGGTAAAACGGGTCTTATTCCGGCAAATTATGTCGAGCCACTGCCCTAACGATCGTAATGCTATTTTTTCGCTAGTTTTATTTTTCTCATCTGACGCAGGAGCTCATTCGTATCATTCTCTCTTTATTTCTTCATTCGCTTTTTCGTACTAATTGCTGTTGCGGTTATTTTATTTGGCTTACATTTCTTTTAAGGCTTCTCATACCGGTCTTCCTATTTTTTAAGTTAATTTTCAATTGTATTTCGCGTCCAAACATTAATATATATTTTTCATTTTACTAATAAATGGAGATTATCATTAGGTAATGATTAGTGTGTGATGGCTAACGCAATTTTTGTGTTGTTGTGTTGTTTTGTAAGTTCAATTGCATTTATGCCAAAGATATTAAGGGAACGACTTTAATTGGTTGGATTAGACTGCATTAAAAATTTGCTTTTGGAAAAACGAGATGTTTTTGCCTTTTAAAGCTTTAACTTCAAGATTAAAACAGTGTGGTATTTCACATTTGTATATATTTATATCTTTTTTTGTAGAAATTTTTTGCAAAAGGAGATGAGTATAGTAATTCGAATAACGATTACATAAGAATAAATATTTTAAGAAATACTATTTAGGTGGAAAGATCTTCTGCTCTTGTAATGTCGATTATTTCTATTAATTTATTTTTCATTGATTTATTGAATAATTCATGCACATATGTAGCTTTATTCTCTTAAAATTCTTCAATAAATCAAAAAATCCAGAAAAAATCTATTGTAGTGAACTAACAAATAATGAAAAATGAGGAATGTAGTGCAAAAAAATTGACTTTATGTATTGAAAATTGGAAATTTTAATAATAATAATAATAAATATCGCCTAAAACTAATTAATTTTTTAAGTTACTCATAAAAGTAGAAATTAGTTGTCAGCAGGATTTATACTTGGGTTTTAATGAAAAGATTATTATCACCTTGAAACCTAACTTGTGCTAGAAAATTGCGTTTAAAGCATTTTAATATGTCCTATTTAATTTTTTTTAGCTCTGTCTATGGTGAAAATATTGTACTGTGTGATATAATCATCTCGAGTCCTAACAATTGCCTTGTTTGCCATAGTCTAACGTTGTCCCGTTAAATTGCTATTTGAAACTTCTTCCGTGTTAAAAGAAAAAGCCGGAAATACCTATAGGCCCATCTTCAGGAATAATTTAGCGTAAGCATGCGATGAAAAGTGGAATAAACTTCTTAAATAGATGCAATTTTCGAGATAAATTCTATTCGAAATTAATATTTTACGTTTTTTTTTTTCATTCTTTTATTTTAGTTCTAAATTTTCCACAAATGCCAAAATTACTCGAATTTCGTTTTTAATGAGTATTGTAATTACTCGTGTCAAGAGGTAAATGATCGAAGCCGTATTGCTTGAACTCGTCATGGTCGACGTCATCATGCAGAATCTAAATCAAAAAACCAATCGGTTTTGGAAAACCGAACAAATTGATCAAAAATATATTCGCAGATATAAGTCAAAAATCATGAATTTTCATCCATTGGTTCGGTCTTTCAATGCAAACATCGATTAGTCATGGAAGTTTTGAAAAAATTAGGCTCATAAAAAAATTTTTTATTAAAATTAAAATTAAAGTTAATTATAAAAAATGTGAAGAAAAATGCTCTCTGAAAATGGCCATCGGGTGAATAATTTTATTTTTACAAGAATAATTTTATTTTTACAAGAATAAAATACAATGATTTTTAAAATTAATAAAATTATAGATAATAAATAAATCAGTAGAATAAAATAAGGAAAGAGGAAAGAATATTTATAAAGTGGTCCTAAAAAAAGTTAATTTCTCGTATTAGAATTTTCTAAATATTCACCTTTTTATGTTAAAGTTGATTCTGTGGTGGTACCACAGTAAGAAAAATTTTAAGAAGCATTCTTTAGAAGGAAGTGGAAAATTGACCAATCCGCATTTCTTAAATTTTCAAGATTCCTGAACAAAATATTCATTCATCATTTTTATCTTTTATCATTTATCATTTTTATCAATCGAAAATATCCCTCACAATTTCTATCGGACTTTGTAAAATGAAAAAATTTGACTATTTTAACTTCAGTTTTACAGCATTCGAAAAAAAAACTTCAATTTCTGATGAATCTATCAATAATTTGCAGAAACTGGAGGAAATAAGCGATTAATAAATTTGACCATTAACGAGAAAAAAAATGAAGCCTACAAACCATCCAAACAACAATGGATCGTAAAAAGGTACAACGTTGTGTGTGAATCTTCTAGAAGAGTGGCGTAATACGCTGCAAGGTTCGTGCTAGAAAAATGGCACACTTCATATATGATGAACGCATGAGGGTAACAGTGATACCAGACGTACATATATGAAATGTTGAAAGGAGATCCTCGTACCGGCTTTGCTTAGTACAATAACCATGCAAACACAACAATTCAGACTACTTTCACGCCGGGTGTTTTTTGGCATTTATGATATGATATGATTATTTATATGGAACAATATGGTAGTCATTATAAATAATAGATTGGGCTAAATAGAAAGAAAAACGATGAAGGGCCTTATCACTGGCAATATTTTTGCAAAAATTTTTAGAGGTGCAATTTCTAATTATTTCTAATTTGATAAGCTCATTTTGGATATATTTTGAGTAAATTATTTTAAATGCATCATCATTTTAATTTTTAATTTTCTTCTAATTTTAATAATTTAATAAATGGAAAATAGAATGGGTCAGTGGGTTGTTGCTCGGTTCGGAGCGCCAATACTAAGGTTCCACTTCCTGGCAAACCAAAAATCCGAATGGTGCTGAATGATTCACCGATTCTATCGCCGAGGAATTCTCTGGCATATTTATTTAGTGCGACAACAGTGAGCCTTTTTGGATCCCTACTAGGATGAAATATTTCCAAAGCGTTTCATTTCAGTCTAATATTGTATTAAAATCTTAGATTTAAGGTTTAAGGATCGATGGAGAAATCAAATATTTCTATTGTGCTTTTTTAAAAAAAATTTAAGAGTTTCAGGATATTTAAGAAAAAACAATCTTATAGTAATGGTTTGCCTCATTTAATATGCCTCAAATGCTGAGGCATGTTGTTTTCGTCTAGGATAATCCTCGTTGTCCTTGAACTATGGAGATCTATTCCACTATTTTATTTTTCTTCCTCTCTCGAGTCCAGAGGTAATAGTTAATAAAATTCAGTCTTCGATTATTTAATTTTATTTTTTGTTGTTGATTGATAATGATAATTTTATAATTATAATTGATTTAATTATAAAATTAATTAACTGTTTAATTAATTAACTGTTTTTATAATTAATATTTATATTTTATTTAATATAATTATAATTAATTTTTAATTAATTAATATATATAATTATAATTAATTTTTGTAATTATAATTAATTTAATTATGATTATAATTAATCACTTATTTAATTAATTATTTAACATCTATTACTGATATCATTTTATTGCTTTTTATATATTTTAAAATATTAAAATGCTTTTTTATTAGAAAAACTATTAATTTTTTAGAATTTTAACGAAAAAATCGCATATGTTCAATTTTTATTTTATCTTAGTCTTAATTAAAAGTTACAAGCTTTAGGGTTTCAGTTTTGACGTTCATTTTTAAGAGGATATTTTTAAAACCGTGGTGATTTGTATTATTTATTTTTTAAATAATTTTTTTAATGTTTTTGTTCATTTTTATTTATGTTTTATATATTAAAATATATATATTTTATTTATGAATAGCATGATTGCTGGTATATCGTTACAATACCGCGCAACAATGCTTATGGATAGGCCTTCGAGAATATCTATATTGTAAATGTAAAGTGTAGAAATACCAAATATCTGTGCTTAGACAACTTCAATTATTGATAAATATGATAAACAAGTATTCATCGAAGATTTAATGAATTCAGCGGAAATTCTAAAGGTTAGCAATGGTTAAGGTCAATGGGAGGTCGACTATTGACACTTGAATTAGCAAGTTACCAATGTGTTTTTCCAACACTCCTTAATTAAGCTCTGCCGATACCTGAGACCATGTGGCAGACCTGGATTGAATATGCTGAAGAATAGCTTGGAAAGAAAAAAAAGAACGGTGTATGGCTTGTATAAAAATACCATGGATTTCTGCGGCAGAAATCATTTATTTCTACTAAATAGTTCCCATATTTGAATAAGAAACGACCTTTTCCACAGTTGTGTCGGCGACATCACTTGAGCCTATCCCAACACTCTATCACCTTTATCTAATCCAATCTTAATCACTCTTTCTTCATTTACAATTACTATTACTATAATCATCTATTAATGTTCATTCGTTAACATAAATCCAATTCTCAGGAAAAATTTTTTGTTGAATTTTAATTTTTGATTTTCATACATCGATTTAAACTTTATTATTGTCATTTTAACATTTAATATTTATTATTGTCAATTATTAATGATAAATTTTATTACTTATTATTTCCGCTTAATCACTTATGTTTGAGATATCAACTGGATGATCGATGTGATTAAACTTAATTTCTTATGGAATCGTAGCAGAAATAATCGATTGTGGTTAACAATACGCCAACCTAAGCCCCAACTTTGTGAATGGCGAAATTTTGGTAATTGAATGGAACGTTTCGAGAAGAAAATGATAAAATTATAGATAGAAAATTATTAAATATAAATATAAATATAATTTCAATAAAAATTTTCAAATGCTAAACGAATTCCTTCTCGAAATTTTTTTGACCATTTAGCCATTTGACCATAAAAAATAATTTGATGAAAATTCTTCAATTGATTTCATTTTATATTCCTCTTCATCCTTCATCCTCATCGTTTGAGCCAATGTTTGAGCCAATGATAAGATGTGGCAAAAAAGTGATCTTAGCTTTAAGAGAAAAAACGAGCTAATAATATATTTTATAGGGTATGCAAAGAAGAGAATCGCTATTGAAGTATGGCTGATATGCTCATATTTGATCTGAGAGGGTGATTTTGCTATTTTTTTATAAAGAGACTAT